CTTTAGTAACTCAGTGCTTCAGTCACTAGCATCAGTCACCTGCTGCTCTGCTTCTAGAGTTCCTGCTACTCTCCACTCTTCTCATGGCTGTCACATGGCTTCTGCCTACCACCTTACCTGACCATCTTTCAGCTTCTACTGCGGCTGTGAACAGGTGACGAATCTGCTTACACTCTGGTCACCAAAAGAGGATCCCATAATAAAACACTCTGTGCCAGGCTCCCTGAGGAGCTGTGAGCCAGTTTGGAGACTGACTGTTTCTGGGCCGACACCCAACCCTGAGAAATCACTGAAGGCCAGAGTGACAGGGCCATGTGGTCAGCTTTCCTTTGGAGGGAGCCCAGACAAGGCAGAGAGGCATTCAAAGCGGTTCCTCCCCAAACTCCCCTTCCTCCCTGTTTTCTTTCTTTCTTCTCTCTGCCAGTGCTTGTGACTTATATGCTCTCTGCTTTCTCTTTTCCTTTTCTCCTTCCTTCCCTCCTCCTTCCTCTCTATGACAACCTCTGTGTATATGCGGATATGGAGCTTCACAAATTTATATTTATATTCGCTGCCCACACTGTGACAGTAATAAATGCTTCCCTGTAGAGCATAGGGCCTTTTATGCCTAACTAACAGTTAAGAGAATTGGTTAACTTACCTCACCAGCCTTCAAACAATTCTAAGTTGACCTGTGGTCTTCAGTTACGCAGTTATTATAGAATGTCTCTAAATCTAATCCTTTAACCACTTATGAACAAATTTCCCCCCCCTCAAAAAAAATATCATTATTTGTGAAACTTTCCAAACAGTCTCTTTCAGGGTAAACAGTAAACTTTCAGGGTGCTTTATTTGGGAAAATAAGTGTCAGAATTTACGACTCCAGAGCCCTGTTGAGAGTTATTCATTATTCTAGCATTTTAAAAGCTATTGTCTTGGGGCGCCTGGGTGGCTCAGGCAGTTAAGTGGCTGCCTTTGGCTCAGGTCATGATGACAGGGTCCTGAGATGGAGCACTTTATCAGCCTCTCTCTGCTCAGTGGGGAACCTGCTTCTTCTTCTGCCCCTCCCCCCACTTGTTCTCTCTCTCTCTCTCTCTCTCTCTCTCTCTCTAATAAATAAAAGTCTTTTTAAAATATATTTAAAAGCTGTTGTCTTCATTTTCACTCCCACATTGGTTTCTTTCCAGATTGCAGATGTCCTGTAGTAGATACAATAGGGAGGAGTGACTGCATTACAAGATAAAGAAGAACAGAGGAGAGATTAGCAGCCCCTCTCATGCAGCAGGTGGGCAGCACTGTTTCCTGTGCACCAGGCTTCTTTCCATTTTTATTTCTGAAAAGATAATCAGATTTAACTGATTTAACTTATTAAGAATTGCTTTTAAAAACCTAATCTCACCTTCCTAACATTTATTTCAAGTTCTATGTATCTCCTCCCACACGCATAAGAACTTTTCCCTAGCTACAATTATAACTAGGGACACACTGCTATTTTATCCCTAGCTGTAGGCCGACAAACTTCCTTGTTGTGGCTGCAGAAGGTAGATTATCTTCCTCCAACACTTTTTGTAATCTAGCCCACCATGTCTGATGGGTCACAAATATTTATCAGTAAAATGTGGCAAAGCCTTTAGGAGTTCACAACCCCGTGAGAAAATCAGAGAGACACATAATGCAGTTTGTCTTCCAAAAGGCCTTTGCCGATCCCTTCACCTTTTCCTCCAGTCTGTCCAAAGTGGTAAAGAAAGAAGAGCCTATCAATCGGACAGGAGTCATAGCCCTCTGAAAATCCCAGCAATTCCTTCCTTCCTGTCGCCGAGGAGTTACTTCTAAGAACTTCAAGATTCTCCCCAACCCTGCCAGCTGCCAGAAAACATTTATTCCCCCTGATATCAGAGCCTCTACTATCATTACTCTACAAAGTAAATCACTCCCTTAGCCTGGTCTCCCTTTCCCACATTCTGATCTCTCCCAGGAATGCCTTCATTGCCCCTCCTCCTCTTCTCCTTTCCCTTGGCACTTCTTGGTAGCCCTCAGGAAAAGAGCTCTAAGGTCTTCCTTCCGGAATGGACTCAGCCCACCGAGCACCTACTTTCAGTGTAGTAGAGGCTAGGCTAACTCCCTATGAGGGCCAAGCAGGACAGACGGTGTTCTTTCAACTTTGCACATTAAAGATAAGGGAATATTCTTTACTTTGATAAAGAAATATGCTCTTATTCCTCCTTGAAACATATGGTCCTTGGTCAACCTTTCATTTTCACAATTTTGACCGAGATAGGGATACATTAGGATAGGATTCATTTTCCTCCTAATTCTACTCTAAGAAAAATAACAGTGCTAGCGTGGGATTAAAGTGACAACAGACACTCCTGTGTCAGTAAGTGGTGAGAGACCTTCTGAATAACTGGGAACATGTGCACTCTTAGAAGGCTACTCTCCAGCCACTGTTCACCCACATGTATCAGGGGCCTAGTGTTTCTGACTTTCCAGGAGACAGAAATCCAGATATTTTTGTAAAGACCCCTGTTCTTCAAATGTTTTCAGCTAATTCAAAAGAACTTAAAATGTTGCAGAGCCTAAAGCAAATAGGCATGCAGGGTGCAAAAGACTGCCAGTGTGCAGTTTCTGGCACTGCAAATATTAAGAGGAATTTATCTGATTATATCTGCTTAATTTACAACAGATAGTTCCATAACTATGCTTTTTTTTTTTTAGAGAGAGATCAATAGTCTGCTTCTGTATTCATTCCCCATATTTGTGGTATATGTGTTTTCTACCTCATCTCCATGGCATTAAAAATGGTGTATTAAAGTCAGATTACCCTCTTTTCCATCCTCTCTTTCTCCGTCCCCTACAAAACGAGTTGAGACATAGTGCTTTTAAAACCAAAGCTTGAAGTCAAATCAGTTTAGGTATTAAATTACAGTAGCTTTATAGAGTTCTCTAGAGTGGCTAGAAATTTTACCAGTAATCTTACTGTAAATCCTTGTTTGGGGATCCCTGGGTGGCGCAGCGGTTTGGCGCCTGCCTTTGGCCCAGGGCGCGATCCTGGAGAACCGGGATCGAATCCCACATCGGGCTCCCAGTGCATGGAGCCTGCTTCTCCCTCTGCCTGTGTCTCTGCCTCTCTCTCTCTCTCTCTGTGACTATCATAAATAAATAAATAAATAAATAAATAAATAAATAAATAAATAAATAAAATTAAAAAAAATAAATCCTTGTTTGGGGGGAACTGAGTAAATATGGTTAGTGTGCACATACACACACACACACATACACACCACAGCACTATGACAAAAACAAATCACAGTATGGGAGTCACTTCTCTTAACACTACCATGTGCCTTCCTTAAGCCTAAGAAGCTCCATGCAGAGGATTTTCCCACTTCTGAACTCCAACCAGTTAGCACCCTCCCCCATCAGCATTTACTCTATATTTTTATCAAAGCTGCATGTACATCTGTCTTCCCTGTAAGAGCAGGGACTGCAGCTTATCACTGTATCACCAGGCTGGAACAGTGCCTCGCACACAACTGGCAAACCAAGACATATTGCATGAGCCAGTATCATCATCCAAATAATAGCTACCATTTCCAGAGCACTTACTATATGCTAAGTAGTATACCTACATTATCCTAGAGGCTTTCCCAGACCAGACCATCCAACCCAAAGCAGCACCCCAGACACCCGCTAGCACAGAAACATTTTATTTCTCTAAAGAGGATTTACTGCTATTTAATATATTCTTGTTTAATTATGTCTCCCCTACTAGAATGAAAACACCAAGAGAACAGTCATTTTGTCTGCCTCATGCTTGGCACATAGCAAATAAATGACTCTAAACCTCCCACCTCCTTGGGTAGCAAAGTCGACTTGCATACAGCAGATCCCAATAAGTATGTTTTAAAATGTATATGGGGGGGGGCACCTGGGTGGCTCAGCAGGTCAAGCAGATGCTTTCAGTTCAGATCCTGATCTGAGGTCCCAGGATGGAGACCCAAGTGGGGCTCCCTGCTCAGCGGGGAGTCTGCTTCTTCCTCTGCTTCTGCCCATCCCCTTGACCTGCTCCTTCTCTCTCTGTCTCTCTCTCAAGTGAATAAATAAAATCTTTCTAAAAAATAAAATGTATATGCAGATTTCAGGGGCACCTGGGTGGCTCAGTCCCCTGAGCAACCAACTCCTGGTTTCCCCTTAGGTCAGGATCTCATGGGTTGTGGCATAGAGCCCCTCCTGGGGCTCATGCTCAGTGAGGAGTCCGTTTCACATTCTCTCTCCTTCTCCCTCTGCCCCTCCCCCCCCAACAAATAAATAAATCTTTTTAAAAATGTATGTGTAGATTTCAGGATAATTGTGTTGAATAGTTTGTGCTCATAATGCTGGGAAAGGGGAGCAAGATATAAGTTTAGTTCACATTCCCCCAAGCACTGACTGACATAGGTGCTGGAATTTTTGCTGCAATATGAAAGCCACTTCCTCTGACATAAGGTCCCCACCACGTCAGGGTCTTGCCACATCCTCCGATACAGAGTTCAAGACGGCTAGGGTGGCTAGGGCGGTCAGGATTCCAGAAGCTCACACTTCAAAAGAGGTGAGTGTAGGGTCAGGCCACCGAGCGTGAGTGCACAGGATTTCCGCGGATTCGTCATCCCCCCACCCGGATTCTCCACCTCGGGGCTCCCCTTCTGCTGCGTTCCTCTTCCTTGCACCTTCAAAGCCCAGACGCACTGCAGGATCAAACTTGGCTCACCCCCAAGACTCCCGGGCCCGAGGTCACTGAGCCCCACGCCACGTGAGTGCAGCCGCGCGCCGGCGCCCACAGGGTCTGGCCGGTTCAGAGGCAGCAAACGAGTGCCCAGAGCTCACCCAGCCGTGCCCCGCGGGTCGGTCGCCACCGTCCCTCCCACCCGCTGGGACGGCAGCTCCGTGCCGGGGGCCGGCCGCCGGGTCCCGCCCCGCCCTTGGCCCCGCCCCCTCCGGGCCCCGCCCCCGCCAGGCCCCGCCCCTGGCCCCGCCCCCTCCGTGCGCGGCCTCACTCGGCGGCGGGCAGCTGCGCCGCCAGAGCCGAAGGAGGTGGTTGCTGCCGCTGCGCCTCCTCGTCTTCCCGCGTCACCGCTGCCGCCATGCCCGGAGGTCTCCTTCTCGGGGACGAGGCTCCCAACTTCGAGGCCAATACTACCATCGGCCGCATCCGTTTCCACGACTACCTGGGAGACTCGTAAGTGGCCACCTCGCAGCCCTGCGCTGTCCTCGGGTGACGCCGGGCCTCGGAGGTGCCTTCCCTGTTGCTCCTCCTTCCGTCCTCCTTCCCGCTCGCCGCCCGCCTCCTCCCGGCACCGGTTCCTGCACGTGCCTCCGGCCGAGTGGCCCCCGCCCCGCGGCGGCCGAGCGCTGGACACCCCCCTCCCGCCGCCGGCGGCCCCCGCGTGGCTGAGCTGGCTCCTCGGCGGGAAAGGGGGAGGGGAACGAACTGGGCTCCCGCGGGTCCGGGCCCCCGAGGCGGACGCGGGGGGCTGCCTGCCGCCCTCTCTCGGCCTGGCCCCGCCGAGGCCCCCCGGGGGCAAGGGCCGGGCGGCATCAGCGGTCACTTCCCGGGATTCGTGCCCAGCGCCGCACCTCCCTCCCTCCCTCTCCCTCCGTCCCTCCGTTATGGAATTTGCTCCCTGGGGAAGGTGGGGGTCGAGGCCAGAGTCTGAGGTCACTGCTGCTGGCTGAAGGTTTCCGATGGCCCAGCGGGTTATCATCGGAAGGTCCTGCTCGCTGCAGTGGCCTTTGCAGGCTTCTGCTCCCTGCAGTGGCGTTTGCAGGCTTCTCGGCACAAAACGTACAGTTTAAAGCCACCAGCAGCCAAATAATAACTGGCTGAGAGACTTCTTGTCCAGAGCCTCCTCCAGTGGCTGGCACAGGATTTGATAACAGCTCCGGGAGGAACCAAGAACACTGTGTATGTAGGTGTGTCCTTCATTCCAGAACTTGCAACATTTTGAGGGAAGGGCTTTCTGAGCTTGCTCAGTGGCCGGGGCGGGGGCGGGGGCGGGGGCGGGTCCTTGTCCGTGCCGCGGCGGGCAGGCCTGCAGGCTATCCCGTGCACTGGGACGCTCGTACCTCCCGGCTTTTGAGACCCTTTTGTTCCTCAGTGGTGTGCCCCTCTCCTCTTCCTCCCCCTTCTGCCTTGCTTCCAGCACGTGGCCTTGCTGGTAATAGCCAAATCTGGCCTGGGAGTCACACCATTATGACTAGGAGTGAATTGATGTTGCCCTGGGCTTTATATTTTACAGCTCCTGAATCAGGCTTTTTAAGTTGCTTAGTTTTAATCTGAAACATCCCAGATATGTCTCATTATATTATGGTTCTGGAGTTGCAGCAGCCCCACCACACTGGTTTCTCTTTTTTTTTTTTTTTTTTGATTATTGAGGTACAATTGACTTACAGTGTATATTAGTTTCAGGTGTACAACAGAGTAATTAGACAATTCTATACATTATTCAGTGCTCATCGCAGTAAGTGTAGTCACCATCTGTCACCATACATTACAGTTTTATTGGCTGTATTCTCCATGCTTTACTTTTCATCTCCATGACTTCTATATTTTATAACTGCAAGTTTGTGCCTCTTAGTCCCCTTCTCCCCCCACTTGCTCTGGCAACCGTGGTTTTCTGTATTTATGAGTCTGTTCCTGGCTTTTCGTGTGTTCAATTTGCCCTGTGATGTAGTAACACTTAACAATTCTTCCATGATTTGTTATCCTTTTTATTTAGTGTCCAGATGTATGTGTGTGTATATACAGAGAAAGAGAGGTTTATGAGATTAATCAATGACTGGACAGGGCTATGCAGAGAACCTGGGAGAGATTCTTACATTTTAGGCCTGCATATCCCCTTACAATCCCCTAATTCCATTGTCCAGCCACTGATTAAGGGAAAAGCCAAGCTTTGTGAAAGAGAAGATTAGGCTAGAAAAAAAAAAAAGATGAGAAATGGAACATTCAGACTGTAAAGGCAGAAAATAACCTCAGAAATACAGATTGTGTCCAATATCATAATCTAGGTATTAGTATTTCTCCAAAAGTCCATGGGATTTTCAGAGTATGTTCCTTCCCATTCCCATCGATAGCTCTCACCCACATATAACAAAATCTTACCAGAACTCTTAGATTGTATTGATTAAAGTATTAACATAAGTATATTTACTATAGCAATAATTATAAATGCTGTCACTATTTAAGCCAGCCCTAATTTGGGGGGTTTCTGTTGTTGTTTATTGGCCCCTGGATCTATCTCAATTTCATTAAAAGTGGTACCTTCTCAGGGAACCACCAGTAGGAAGATGAGAAAAATACCTGCATCTGTAACAAGTGGTATAACAAGTCAGCCTCAGATCAGGCATGGGGTAGTATTCCCTACCCTACCCCAAAGAGAAGTTGGAGCTCTTTATATAATAATAGATGGATTTTGCCTAATATAGTTTTTTCCAACTCTGTTCTGTGGGTGATCTCAATTCGGATGCCAGTTTTTGATCCATGTGTGTGTGTTGTGGAGGAAAAAAATAAGATAATTTCAGACATTACAGGTATCTACTACCTCTGACAATTGGAAACAACTAAGGGGTTGGATGCTGCATTTGATGACTTTAATCAGCTTTATCACTGTTTTTGTATGATTGTGGTAGAAGCAGCTTCTTTACCCTACGTTTTCACCCCAAAAATGGTGTTTTCTTGGGATTTTCTGGGGGTTAGTGAGTGAGGACCCTTCCCTTAAAGGAGGAAACTTTTTGTCTTTTGGAAATAAGGAAGGAAATGGAATAATGTAATTAAACTACTCTTTAGGAGCACAGTAGGGAGACTTAGAGGGGAATAGTAAGACATTCTCAGAGTTACCCTATTCGTAGCCACATGGCAAACTGGAGTTTGGCTTCTGAGGGAGGCAGGATGTGAAGTGGCTTAAACTTAGTTCCTTAGCATGATTCAGCAAAACACTCTTGACACACGATGGAAAGAGTATGTCTAATGCTGAAAATTCATCAATCCTGTAACGACACAGGAAGAAATGTCCTATTTATTTTTTTCTCATCTTCTGTAGACTTTCTTTTAAGTCTCATCTGACCCTCAAGCAGATCGTTTGCCATAGAACCCAAGGCCTAGATTTTACGTAAACCTATGTTATTTCTTTCAAAAGATGTTTGTCCCTCTTATTGCATAAAAAAGTAAGCATACTACAATCCTCCAGAATCTTAAAAATATTGCCTCTCGGGATCCCTAGGTGGCGCAGCGGTTTGGCGCCTGCCTTTGGCCTAGGGCACGATCCCTCCAGGATCGAATCCCACGTCGGGCTCCCGGTGCATGGAGCCTGCTTCTCCCTCTGCCTGTGTCTATGCCTCTCTCTCTCTGTGTGTGTGTGACTATCATAAATAAAAAAAAAAATTTAGAAAAAAAATATTACCTCTCTCTTCACAGGCTTGCCCAGGTCCCTCTATTGTTCTTGTAGGAAGGCTTTTCCTTTCCTGAAGCCTGGGAGTCCAAGTTGATGTCCCAATATGCCCGACTCCAAACAAATGCCTGACTGGGAAGGAGGAACCCTTGTTTCTGCTTTTGTAACTTGGCAAACTTTGAGAGATCAGCTTGGCATCTAGGCTAGATTTAGTAATCTAGCTTAGGATCCTGGTTTAATGTAAGTCAACAGGGGTTATGGCAAACCGAGTGTTAAGTTTTCCTTTTCAGTCAGAGGAGTAGTTTCTATTGCAGAGGAGAAGAAAATAGTAGTCCAAAAGTTCTGGTGACTTCGATTGAAATGTGCTTAAAATCTATGCACAGTGTTGCCTTAGGCAAGGATGATTTAGATGCTAGAATTTATATAAGAGTCTGTAGTTGTAACAATCTATGGTAGGCTGTCAGTTTTCTGCCCACTTGATCCTAAAGCAAGAAGCAAGACTGCAAATGAAGAGACAGGTAAAACTGCAGTTGTTTTGTCAGGTTACAAGGATTGTGTGTCCTGTTTGGCAGGCTAGGTCAGTAAAGTCCATTTACAAAAGTTTTTATATCCATTCACTACAAAGAAGCCAAGTGTCAACTTTAATTTTACATATAAATAGGGGATAGAAGCCTATTTATTTCAGATTACATAACCTGCTTATTTTCGCAGTCAGGCATTTGTTCGGAGTGGGGCATATTGGGACATTCATTGTTGAAGCTGAATATCAGGGTCTCTCTGCCTAGAAAGAAAGTAGAAGTGAGTAAGAAAGAAAAGTAATTGTCCTCATAAACATTCATTTTTGACCTAGGATTTGTGATTTCTTGTTCTGCATGATGGTAATAACCTCTCCAATCATTTGTGACTTCCTTTTCCTTTGTTTCAGATGGGGCATTCTCTTCTCTCACCCTCGAGATTTTACCCCTGTGTGTACCACAGAGCTTGGCAGAGCTGCAAAGCTGGCACCAGAATTTGCCAAGAAGAATGTTAAGATGATTGCCCTTTCGGTGGACAGTGTTGAAGACCATCTTGCCTGGAGCAAGGTATAGTACCAATTGGCATGTGCTTTGAGGTTATAGATCAAGTTATAAATTACATAGAGTAGCTTGGTTTGGATTCTGTTTAATTTTTTATTTAAATTCAATTTAGTTGTATTCTTAGTTTCAGGGATAGAATTTAGTGATTTATCGGTTGCATGTAACACCCAGGGCTCATCACATCAAGTGCCCTCCTTAATGCCCTTCATCCAGTTAACTGCATGCCTGATCCACCTCCCTCTAGCAACCCTCAGTTTGTTCCCTAGAGCTAAGAGTCTCTTATGCTTTGTCTCCCTTTCTGTTTTCATCTTATTTTTACTTCCCTTCCCCTATGTTCATCTGTTTTGTTCCTTAAATTCCACATGAGTGAAATCATATGGTATTTTTTTTCTGACTGGCCTATTTTACTCAGCATAATACCTTCTAGTTCCATCCATTTCTAGTTGCCAATCTTACAAATGGCAAGATTTCATTCTTTTTGATGGCTGAGTGATATTCCATCGTATATATTACACCACATCTTCTTTATCCATTTATCTGTTGATGGACATCTGGGCTCTTTCATAGTTTGGGTATTGTAGACATTGCTGCTATGAACATTAGGGTGCAGGTACCCCCTCAAATCACTGTTTGTATCCTTTCGATAAATACCCAGTAGTGCAATTGCTGGGTCATAGGGTAGTTCTAGTTTTAACTTTTTGAGGAACCTCCATACTGTTTTCCAGAGTGGCTGCACCAGTTTGCATTCCCACCAACAGTATAAGATTGGTTCTGCTTTCTCTGCATCCTTGCCAACATCTGTTGTTTCCTGAGGTGTTAACTTTTATAGAGTAGCTTGGTTTTTTGAGGTAAAGGTACAAGTAACCTCAGTTTCAAACTTCACCTATTATCTGAAAATCTGACTTGGACTGTATTGTGACCTCCTCCTTGCTAAATGCAGTGTTCAGTTCTCAGCCCTAATCTTTCTTGGCCTACTAGCAGCCTTCAACCCACTGATCACTGTATATTCTGAAACATTTTACCCTCTTGGCTTCCAGACACAACATCTCTAACTATTCCTGCTTATCCTCAGACTGAGCCCCATCATTTTCTAACTCCTGATTTATGCTGACGTTGCCCTGGATGCATTTCGTAGATGCCTTCTCTTTTTATCTACACCCTCCCCCTGTTGAGCTCATCCACTCACTTCTAAATGCTGTGATGCCCAAATTTCATCCGCAGGCCAGACTCCGCTAGCTTCCAGACTGATAGAACCAGTGCCAGCTCAGCCTCTCCCTGGGATGTCCTGTCATCTCACACTTTATATATCTAACACTGGGTTCCTTTTCGTAATCCTTTTCATCTTAGCTAATGGACACTACAGTTTCGTAGTTGCTCAGGCAAAAAGCCAGACGTCTTCCTTAATTTCTCTGGTTTTTCCATGTCCATGTCTGATTCATCAGGAAATTTGTCTACCCCACCTTTAAAATTATCCAGAATCCTATTTGGAAGACCCTTTCCCCAGATATCTTTATAGCTTGCCCTCACCTCTTTCTGGTCTTGACTCAAATGACTCCTCCTGAAAGCCTTCCATGGCCTCCTTATCTAAGATTATAACTCCCCTCCATACTGCCTAGCCCCCTTTGATTGTCTCCTTAGCACTTGTCACCATCTAAAAGAAAATGCTCTGCACATTACCAGTTTCTTTTGTTCATTTATCCACACCCACCAGAGTGGACGCTCAGTAGGACAGATTCCCGTTCTGTGCACTGCTAGACAATATTTGGCACCCAGTACATTCTAGGCAGTCGGTCTATACATGTTGAATGCATGGCCTGAAGGAATTGTCTGCTTTCAACAAAAGGATTGACTTGGACAATAAATGTGATGGTCGAGGCTTAACTCAGGAACATTCTGATGACTTTGCTACAACATGCCACTAAATAATGCTGATAGGTAAGTTTCGAGGGACACTTAGGCATTATAGCAAGCACTCCGCATACAACTGGATAAAAGATGTGGTCCTGACTTGTGAGTTGGCACCTGGGGCTGTATCCCTTGGCCATCTCATGCTAATTAATTCTGTGTCTGAGATTAGAAGAATGATATATAGGAGAAAAGAGAAGGGCATTGCTCTTTCTTGGGGTGGGATTTTTTTTTTCATTCCTTACTTCTGGCTGTGACTAATGGCTACATTTCTACAGCGTTCTCTCAGACCATTTCTCATTCATTCCTGGGAGCAGCCCTTTACAGGAGGCGTAGTTCTTGTTCTCATGTACATAGATGAGAATACCTTCTCCTCCCACCGAGTCAGAGGGACTTGCTCAGGATTGTCCTGCTGGAAAATGATCACAGTCAGAACTTTATACCAATGCTATTTGTGATACTAAATGCTGGAGGGTAGGCATTAGCCAGATTTAGGACAGAATAAAGCCAAAGTATGGTTCTTTGGCATTCTTGGATGTAACATAATGCCCATCAGGAAGTGGCAGTGTTGACCATTATTATGGTATAGCAATCATTAAAACTAGAAATCACCAAAGGAAGAGCATATCACCTGTCATGTGACACCCTTAAAGTACAGCAGTGTGCCCAGCTTCATTTTTAGCTGGTGAGCTTCTGCCTTAGAATTTTCACAACTGCAATTGCATTCAATAGGAAACAGGTCCCAACTATCAGAAGCAGTGGCCAAACTTTGACATTCAGCTGGTTAAATAGGAAACTTTAGGGTGCCTCTAGCATGAAGCCATTGTGATTGCTTTTCAGTTGTGATGACCTGACAGGGAGCCAGTGATAAGAGAAGGGAAATTGAGATAATAAAATTAAGGAACAGGTTAAAATGCCTAATTATCCATTTCAAAGTTCATCGATACCACTCTTATCCTGTCATGTCTGTTGAGAAATTAGATTCTATAACTGCCATGACATTAGCCTGTTTTACTTTTAAGACTCCACATAATACATAGACCTTATTCCAACTTTTTTTAAAGATTTATTTTATTCATTCATTCATTCATTCATAAGAGACAGAGAGAGGCAGAGGCAGAGACACAGGCAGAGGGAGAAGCAGGCCTCATGTAGGGAGTCCTACGCGGCACTCTATTCTGGGACTCCAGGATCACACTCTGGGCCGAAGGCAGGTGCTAAACTGCTGAGCCATCCAGGAATCCCCCTTATTCCAACTTTATATCCTCTTTTCTGCTACTTCTTAAAATTCCACCAAGCTAAGTTACTCACTCTCTTCCCAATTACTTACATGCAGACTTGTCTGCATGTTTCATTAATACTGCTCCCCTTACCTGTAAAAATCTGATCCATTCTTCAAGTCCCCAGGTAGATATCTTCCCTGAAGTCATAACAAACTGGGCAGACCTACAAATTGGGGACATTAGTATTCTTTGGCATTGACAGTCTATCATTTAAATATTAGAGTCTTGCATTTGCTGCTATTTCATAGGGGAATCATCTTAACCAAAGTAGAAGTTTTCTTTGAAGGCAAGAAGTGTGCCTGACTCATCCACATGTACTTGCTCTAGTGTTTACCCCACTTTAAGTGCTAGATCAATGCTTGATCAAATAATTAAGCTAGATCCCCCGCTGCCGCCCCCCGCCCCCCGCAAAGGCTTCTAGGGATAGGAAAAGAAGTGAATGAGGGAAGTTTACTAGGAATAAAGAAGAAAATACATTACTGTCTTTCAGTTGAGACCTGAAATGCTTTGTGTTCTGTGTGGATTTCACTCTCGTGTACATTTACCTCTGCCTTTCACCCATAAAAAATTTACATTTTACTGTCCTTAAAGTATATATTCAACTCTCCATTCTTGGGTTTGTTTTAAGCGTTGTGATTTTTTTTTTCATTTCTTAATAATGTTCCTTAATTTTATTATCTTAACTTCCCTTCTCTTGTCACTGGCTCCCTATCAAGTCATTGCCTTACAGTAGCATAATGTCTGGGTCAGGGTACTTAGAGGGCAGGCACTAGATCTATAGAATTATCTTTGCATGTGGCATTATTTCTAGATGTGATGGACTTAATGAACCCATTATTTCTTTTTTTTTTTTTTTAATAGATTATTTATTTATTTATTTACAATAGTCATACAGAGAGGAGAGAGAGGCAGAGACACAGGCAGAGGGAGAAGCAGGCTCCATGCACCGGGAGCCTGACATGGGATTCGATCCCGAGTCTCCAGGATCACGCCCTGGGCCAAAGGCAGGCGCCAAACCGCTGCGCCACCCAGGGATCCCGAACCCATTATTTCTGATTGTATTTACTTGTTGTGTACCAGAGGTACCTTGTATTAGGATCTAACTACAGTATTTGACTTTTAAAGCTGCTTTCTTTCTTGCTACTTAAAGTAGTAAAAGTGTGCCAAATTTTAAGAGAACTGGACATGAAAAAGGTCTATGGTTATAACCTAAGGACTCTACCATACTGTTCTGTCAAGACTGATTGGAATGAGGGGTGTTCATTCATTCATTTCCGTACTCAGATTGCTTAGAGAAAATTATGATTGTGGTCCTCTTTCCTGTCTTACAAGACAATAGCTGTTAACTGATTGAATTTAGAAGATGTGTTTGGTTTAGAATTCTTTTTCCTCTTTCACCTGCATTCAGGATATCAATGCCTACAATGGGCAGGAGCCCTCAGAAACATTACCTTTCCCCATCATTGATGATAAGAATCGGGACCTTGCCATCCTGTTAGGCATGCTGGACCCGGCAGAGAAGGACGAAAAGGGCATGCCTGTGACCGCTCGTGTGGTGAGTCATAGAAATCCGTTATGTAGTCCTCAGGACTGGCCAGGTGCTATGTCTAACTGAGGGCTTGCACCAACTCCAGGAAATAAGGAAATATCTTCAATTACAAAACAACTATATTAATGGCAATATCACTGATCATCTGTACTGCTAATGAAAGTAAAATTTTCAGCTAAATTTTTTAGTTGCTGAATTTGACACCTTGGAAATCTACATAAATAAGTAGTTATTGTAAGATGTCATCTGAAAGTGAAGAATCTTTTCTCCAGCTCTCCTGACAGCCCTCTCTTTAAAGTGGTGGGCCATACCGTTCTCCATAAGGCAGCTCTGGTTTGGAATTCCTGTTTGTTCTGTCCGTATCACTAGAGAAGAAACAAGGCCTCATCTGCAAAAATGTACAACTATCTGAGGGACCAGTATCAACTCCCATTAGTATATTTTTTAAGATAATCATCCCTAGTTAACCTTGTACCTTCCTGAAGACTTTCCTGGATTTCATTTTCATAACAGTTTTTCTTACTGAAACAGCCAGAACCAATAGAATTCCCTTCTAAGTTTAGAAAAATAACAGGGAACATGCCTGGCTGGCTCAGTCAGTAGAGCATGTATGTGACTCTTGATCCCAGGGTTGTAAGTTCTAGCCCCACTTTGGGTGTAGAGATATTTAAAAATAAAAAATATATCTTAAAAAAAGAACAATAACAGTATAGATTCTATTTACCTTTTGCTTGTCCTTTTTTTTTTTTTATTTATGATAGTCACAGAGAGAGAGAGGCAGAGATACAGGCAGAGGGAGAAGCAGGCTCCATGCACCAGGAGCCCGATGTGGGATTCGATCCCGGGTCTCCAGGATCGCGCCCTGGGCCAAAGGCAGGCGCCAAACCGCTGCGCCACCCAGGGATCCCCCTTTTGCTTGTCCTTAAAGTATATATTCAACTCTCCATTCTTGGGTTTAAGTTTTGTGGGGTTTTTTTTTCATTTCTTAATTTTATTATCTTAATTTCCCTTTTCTTATCACTGGTTACCTATCCAGTCACTGCCTTACAGTAGCATAATGTCTGGGTCAGCCACCCGGATTAATAGTTTGATGTATTCTAGATGTTGAGGGAGGCTGGGAGGGGTGTTTTGGTTGTTTTTGTTTTTTGCACCCTTGCACATTTCTAATGACTGAAGAGCTTTCAAAGAGGTTTAATATCAAAAACACTTAAAGAGGGGCCCCTGGGTGGCTCAGCGGTTGGGCGTCTGCCTTTGGCTCGTGAACCCGGGGTCCTAGGATTGAGTCCCATATCGGGGTGCCTGAAGAGACCCTGCTTCTCCTTCTGTCTGTGTCTCTGCCTCTCTCTCTGTGTCGCTCATGAATAAACAAAATCTTAAAAAAAAAAAATACACTTAAAGAATTCCTCTATTTATGCATCTGTGTGCTTTGCAGGTGTTTATTTTTGGTCCTGATAAGAAACTGAAGCTGTCTATCCTCTACCCAGCGACCACTGGCCGGAACTTTGATGAGATTCTCCGAGTAATTACCTCCCTCCAGCTGACGGCAGAGAAGAGGGTTGCCACCCCGGTTGATTGGAAGGTAAAGTTGTTAAAAGGGCAGATACCCAATTTGCCTTGCAAGGCCTAAGGGCCCGGTCTCTAAATGGCTGTCCTCGGAGTCTTTGTTACATGGGGCTTTATGTCTGGCATGCACACACAGGCAGACTTTTCCTGCCTGGCTAAGCTTCAGATTGGCTGTGAGGCCACTGTCAAGATCTTCAACACCTTTTATATATAATGCAAGTCCCTATATTGCTTTCTAACTTGTAGGCCATTTGATCAAATTAATTGGTGAGAACGATTCCGTTTCCTAATAAAAGATTTTTTTTTTTTAAACCTTCAACCCTTTTAAAAACTAGGAAAATAATGGCAAAATATTTACGGCTAAACTTAGATTGGCCGCTTAAGTCATGGCTAGAAAACCACATGGTGTATTAATGTCATGGAACATTTCGTTTCTGGTAAGCTTCATTCAGTCTTTTAAACTCAAGTCGGATTCTTGGAATCATGTTCATAAACATTTAATCTCTAGGATTTCTGCAAAAGGGAGGACAGGACATCACAAAAAATGTCGCTACATTTTTAAACACGTGCTAATCTGAATGCCAGGTTGTATTGGTTTTGTTTTTCCTGACCAGCAAATCATTTAAATTCTGTGCCCATCCACTGAATATGTATTTATTGAGCCCAGGCAGTGGGCACTGGGATAGAGCAATGAAAAATATCGATATAAATGTAAATAGAAATCCCTGCCCTTATAGAGCTTACAGTCCACTGGGTGGAGACACACAGTCAGCAAGTTTCCAGTGCATTAGGTGACATTGAACATGACAGAATAATCAAGCAGAGGTGGAAAGAACCAGAACACGGGTGGGAGGGTTGGTTTTATAATTGGCTGTCAAAGAAGGCCTTTTCTGAAGGGACTTTTGGGAAGGACACGAAGAAAGCAAGGGACCAAGTCATGCATATTTGTGAGAGAGGTGCACTGCAGGCAAAAGGAACAGCTAAAGAAAGTGAGCTTGGTGGGTTTGAGAAACAGAAGAAAAGCCAGTGTGCCTGCAAGAGAAGGAGCAGGAAGTGGGGCAGCCGGAAGGACTCAGAATTAAACCTTTGCAGGTGTTTAATGCCAAGCCATCACTGGGTTTAAAATCAGATGATTTCTTGTTAAGATGGGAAAGTAGTTCCCTCAGGAAAGTGTCAGAGATCAAAACAAAGTTCTTCAGAGGGGGAGAGTAAACCAATCCAGAGTTCTTCTCATTTCATTTTAACTTGAATTTCAGTATTCTCAATGTCTTTCAATAGGATGGAGACAGCGTGATGGTTCTTCCCACCATCCCTGAAGATGAAGCCAAAAAACTCTTCCCTAAAGGAGTCTTCACCAAAGAGCTCCCATCTGGCAAGAAGTACCTCCGCTACACACCCCAGCCTTAGTCTCTCCGAGGAGTCGGTGCTGGAGCTGTTGGCGTAGCTCAGTGAGCCAGAGGATCCCAGCTGCCAGTCATGTTCTCCTGCAACTGTTCCGTCAAAACATCCTGGGGTGATCACAGCTAAGGCCTTTAGGTTGCTCTACTACTGGCTTATTAAATGAAAATGGCACTAAAAATTTCTTGGGATCCTTTACTCTGTGCCTTCACCAGCATTCATCTCTGTTCATATACCTTAGCATTCTCCGCTGACTCTCTTTGAAATATAGTCTGTATGAGAGGCTCTGATCTTGGATCTTTACAACATTTGGGATCATTGAGGTAGTATGGTTGGAAAAGCCTGCTTTGTTCCATCGTAGAATGACTATCCATTTTTTTAGCTGTTCTAATCAAATCCAGAACTTGGGGTACAGATTTCCTCTGTGATGAGTATTTAAGATGTTCTTCACTCTTCAGTGTTTGGATCACAGCAGGGGCAAAAAACCTTTCGGTTCTATACTTTTTCAATAGATAAGTGAGATGAACAGGGGGAAGGATCTTTAAATACTGTGCGATAAAGAAAATCTTTCAGTAAATTTCTACCAAAAGAAGGAGGCTATAGGAAAGGCTCCACTTGCCTGCCAGGGAGGTGTACCAGAAGGTGTGAGCAATATGACAGTGCCATGTGCCTTTCATACAAAGTATTTCCATATGTTGGTCTGCTCTGCAATGATGGACACAAGCAAGGGCACACCTTCGAGAGAAAGGAGATGATGATGGAAACTTTTTTATAGAACTATTCTTGCAGTGAGGGGGTTGAGTCTTTTTTCTGATTCTTGCTTTTGGGGGATCAGCAAATAAATTCTTTGTTAAAACTGGACCAGAGAATTCTGTTGTAACGTTTTGAAGTACTAGTTTAGACTCTCCTGCACGGCAGAGGTCTGCTGGAATTGGCATTGGTACTTACTTTTCTCCAAAGGCAGATACATAAAATTTCATACAATGAAAATGGAAGAGCAACTGATGAACAAGTGATTTCACCACATCTCTTGGCCCGCTTTGGTCCTTCCTATTATTTCCCTGGGTCCTTGTGTTTGTGACTCCTGTATAAAGAGCTCTCCTAACATATTACTTTAATTGCATTACTAGGCTTAAGAATATGAATCTTGAGGAAAATGTACATCTGTGCTTTTCTGGAAAGATACTAAAGACTGAGAACTCATGGTCTCTCAGACTTTTATTAGACTGTGCTAATATATCCTGGGTTTAGAAAGAAGTATATATAATATATACTATACCTGGTATAGTCTCTTGTATGTAGCCCTTTATATTTGCATTGAATATAATAGTGTAAAACATGATGCCCAGTGCCAGGTGTTAGACAAGTCATTAAGTCTTCAGTTTCCTTGAATTCTCCACATGTAAAATCCAAGTGAAACCAGGAAGGTTGAAAATGGAGTAAAAATCAAAGTTACCCAATATCCTGAAAAATGCTGGTGTGAAAGACAAGCAGACTGGTGCCCTGCTCTTGCTTCTTCAAGTCACAGTATATTTTGCCCTTAAAGAACTAATACCTGGTCCTCTAGAGTATATCTCCTAATATCCTAATCCTTGGATCCCTGGTCTCCTGTCCCCTCCCCAGCTATTAGATTCCTCTAATAGCTGTTCTCTTCCCTTGGCTGTTTGATTCTGCTAGTCCTTGTTTCTTGGAAAGGCTGGCTTCAACTTTCTTTCATGGTGACAGTTCAAAGTCTAAATCTCCAACATTAATTATCCAGACCTGAGTGTTGGTCTTTACTGACCGATGGAACATGTGCCATTGAATATCCAAATTCAAAATCAAGTTGGTCAACTTTCCACCCAGTAAATCTCCTGCCCCCCCCCATTGCTCCCTCAGGCACCCAAACCTTGGTGTTTTGTTTGGCCATCTCTCTGTATATATGATATAAAGACAATGAAAAAGCTCAAAGGAAAAAGGGGCCACGTACCCCCCAAATCGAGTTCTGGCTCTGTCACCACGCAGCCATGAGACTTTGTGAAAGTATATTTTTCCAAATATAAAGTAGTACATAATAAATATGTATTTCAAAGGCAGAAGTGATCCTAAGTATATCTTTAATACTCTAGTGGGCATGGAGAGTAGAGCCTCCCTATCAAGAGCTGCTGCTGTCAATTTTCATGGGAGAACAGAATAAATTGCATCCTGCATTCAAAGATTTATCAATGGGAAGTGAATATATGACCATCGTGACTATGGGAGAAGCATAAGGAATCTGAGAGGTAGTCTATGGACTTTGGTGGAAATATACCACTTCTACAATTCTCCACGTGGTGAACCTGGGGCTCCTGTGTGCTTTTGTCACAAGTCTGATCTCACTTCTAACCTGCACCCTAAAAGTAGGAATCTTCATGGTGATGCTCAGCAAAGGGGAAGGAACCAGAATGGTGTGTCTAAATGACCAAGTCAAAATGCCAATTGGGTGCAACGAAGTGGCTGGTATAGTTGTTTACTCCCTCTGACTCCACCTCTTTAGGGCAATGCAAATTGAAGAAATACAACTTTAATTTTAGCTTAAAGAGTGTGTTAAATAGATAAAAGGTTATTACCACTTTCTTGGCAGTACCTGGCTCAGAAATAGACAAGTGATTCAATTCTTGGGAATGAGGATCTTTAGAGTTTCTAGAAGAATTCTATCTCCTGACAGCAGTTGGAGGCCTTTTTTTGTTTTTTTTGTTTTGTCTAGCACAAAACATGAATCCTGAATTGGTCCTGGCAGCATCTGATAACCTGGGAATGGGGAACCATAGAATGAGGCTGTAAAGGTCAACAGCGAAGTGGAGAGAAAAAGCTCTGAACCTTCATCATCTTAGTCCACCAATTGTGAGCCTGTGCCAACTCTTGACTTACGGAGTATATAAAATAATAAATTTCCTTAAGATTTAAGCCTTTTGAGTTGGGTTTAGGCCAAAAGCATCCTAAGTGATATATATGGAATGAAGTAGTGTCCTCTAGTTCTTTCAGATACTTGGTGATGTGCCTCCTAAGCAAGACTAGTGCAGACTAGGGTATCTCAAGTTTCAATATTCAAATTCCACGAGGAGTGTTAGCTACCCCCAGAGACTGACTCTGTAATTGGCCACATGTTCTTCATTTGTAATACCCAGGTGATTATGAGGCAGAGACGAACAGATATTGCAGTTGTTACCCAATATTCATTTACCCCTTATTTTTGCTAAAAAACACCCAGATTGTATCCAGGTGGCAAAGTGAAGTGGCAGTCAAAATTCATCTTAAGGTGATAGGATTGGGCACTCATAGTGCTGGCCCTCTTGAGGTCCATTCCTAAATAAAAGGCAAAACCTCATGAAGAGAAAAACCCCTTGCCCTCCTAAAAAGCCAATAGGTTTCCCAGAGGTACAGATGTCAGTTTGCCAGCCTGAGACTCAAAGTCACAGGCCAAGGGTCAGGGAAGAGGCTGCAGCCTCCCTCCATGGTAACTTCCGCAAGCAGCTGCACCTGCCCTCCTCTGCCTATTTCCAACATTTTGTTACCCTAAGAAAAATGAAGCCTCAGGTGCCTGGGTGGCTGTCTATTAAGGGTCTGCCCTCAGCTCAGGTCATGATCCCTGAGGTCGAGCCCCACATGGGGCTCCCTGCTGAGCTTCTCCCTCCCCCTCTGCCCACTGCTCCTACTCCCCCTGCTTGTGCTGTGTCAAATACATAAATATTTTTTTAAAAAAGGCAGAAGAAAAATGAAGACCTTAATAGAATAAGTAAAGTGGATGAAAGGTACAGCATAGGGAATATGGTCACTGGTACTATAATAGCATCATGTGGTGACAGGTGGTAGCTACACTTGGGGTGAGCACAGCATAAGGTTTAGAGAAACTGAATCACTATGTTGTACACCTGAAACTAACATAGCATTGTGTGTCGACTCACATAATTTTTTAAAAAGGAAAATGAAGCCTATGTAATGGGGAACAGAAGGCTAGCTGGGGACAAAGCACAAGCTCACACCCCACAAACAACCTCCACCCCCCGACCCTCCCTGCCAGGTGCCCTATGTGTGATATTTCTCCAGAAGTTCCAATTGTCTTCCTGTTAATGTCTTGCTAGAGGGAAAAACAACCTTAACTTGACAATAGCAAGGCCTCCAGTATCCTGTGAGTCCTCTTTAACAGATGAAAATCCTTTTGAAACCTCCCTTTTCCCTACGTCCTCCAACTACCAAGTATATAATCAGCCACCCCTCACAACCCTGGGGCAGCAGGTCTTTCTGCCCACAGGTCCTGTCCCCAGTCTTTAATAAAACCATCATTTTGCACCAAAGACTTCTTAACAATTCTTAGTCCTATTCTCAGGACCCAACCCCACCAAACCTCACCTATATTCCAAAACTACTTCATACGTGGTTCAGTCACAGTGGTCAGATTCCTGTATGTACAGCCACATCCAATATTTTTTGGCATGCTGGTGATCGCAGTCCAAACTGCCCTGTTATGCTAGGTGTCCAGAAGTTTCTAATAAATAGGTAGGCCTGACTTTTCCCCTTACCTTTTCTTCTATTCTTACCTCTATTATGGTTTTCCGTAGAGTAGAGAACCAAATATCCTTTCAAAATCTTGTTGAAATGAAAAGGGATAATGGATTCCAAATAATAAACCATCAGACCATAAAACTAAATTTTATTTGACTTTTAAAAAGAAATTGAAAAGTGATACCAAAGAGTATTATGCACTGTAAGATTGTTAATTTCTCCTAAACTTTGTTTTCAGTAACTAAGATTGTGAAATACAGTTCCATTTTTCAACATTTACTAAACTGGGGAGGGAGGGAATAACGTTTCTCTGGAAAATGTTAGGCACTAAGAACAAATCAAATAAATTATAGGTCATGTGCTTTAGTCAGTAATATATCAATTATACAATGCTTTTGATAACTTTTACCCTCCTAAAAGAGTAGGCCATAAATTATATTATTATCCTGAAGAATTTATGAACATCTCAAGGATAATGCAACTGCTTAAAATTGGAGCTTTTCCATCAACTGTAAAATAAATACAGCAGTTAATTGTTCCAACAACTTTTTTTTTTTTTTTTTTTTTTTTGTTCCAACAACTTCTAAGTAACCTCCTCACCAGGTAATCCTTCAGCACTTAGGCCAGGTGTTAGCTCAGTCTTTAACCTGACTCCACATACCACATTAGCACCATTAATATTCTTTTCTAAAATGGGATGCACTTTCCAACTATAAAAGAAACTCAAAAATATTAGACTATAAGCATTTCAGGAAAAACAAACTACTAAATGCAATCAGAAAACTTACTGAGAATTTTCTATTTTATCATCTGAAACATTCCCTCTCAACGATTTTTGATATTAAGGGCTGTGAGACACATGTGTATCTCTACCGTCAGACATCATCTTGTAAAGAGATACTACATTAATTCAGTAAGTGCAGTCAGACAAAGGTGCACTTCAGGAAAAGAGAAACGTCAAGAGAGTTGAATTCTAGTTGTTTGTGACCGATTCCAAGATAACGGGAAATTTCTTTCCTAAAAAAATGATAATTTTTTTTAAATAATGGGGCCTGGAAAAGATAGCAACAATGAGGAGTCATTTGAGTCAACTACTTGACTCCCAACTAGGTTTCCCATTTGTGAAATAGGGTCCTTTTAAGAAGTCTCTGAGGAGAGGATGACCCTAGGAAGGCTACCTAAAAGAACTAAGTTGTTCTCTATAAGGAACCATAAGTCATACATTTGGTCAATGCAAACTTCCTTCCCTCAGCAAACACACTGTACACCACCCTGACTGTCATAGATGACTGTGCAGACCCAGAATTTCTATTAAAAGGGTCTTAGGGTGACTCTGGTTGGGGATGTGGTGAACCAAGGAAGTTCTCTTGAAGCTGTGTAAGTGCTCTCTTGGAGAGCATATTTATTTGGGGTGACTTTGCAACTGGGAGAGAGAGGGTGCTGAAGGTCCTTGCAGCCCATCCCGGACACCATTGACTACTCCCTGGTCTACCTGTGCATTTGTCTAGCTAGCAACCTAGTGCCTGTGAGAGCCATCTTCTCCGCTCAGCTGTGGGCTTGAGCCCAAATGAGCTCTTTGAGGGGCTCTGACAGGGACTCCTTGAGTAACTAGTCTCGTAGGTCCCCTACTGCCAAGAATTACCCCCACTCTGCCTTGCCCCGGTGTGACCAGCCCTCCCTTCTCCCACTCTACACATGATTTTCAGCACTTCTCAAGCTTTCCAGATTTGCCCTGATTGCTGAGGAAAACAAGCAAAGCTATCAGGGCAAAATTTAAGTGACTCTCCATAATAAATGGTTTGAAGTCTCATTTGAGTCAACTACTTGACTCCCAACTAGGTTTCCCATTTGTGAAATAGGGTCCTTTTAAGAAGTCTCTGAGGAGAGGATGACCCTAGGAAGGCTACCTAAAAGAACTAAGTTCTCTATAAGGAACCATAAGTCATACATTTGGTCATTTATTGTAAAAATTCAGACAAGTTTGTCACCCTACTCCATAACATGTTTGTTTTAATATAAAACATTTCAAATAACCTAATGGTTAAATGAGTTTCCTCCCTTTAAAAGAGCATCAAATAAAAGAGATACTCTAGGAAGATGCTCTGGATCAGGCTGTGTGGCTCCATATACCCGGGGGCACCACAAATCCTCAGAGAAGGCACACTCTATAGGGAGGAGCACAGGCACATAGATGCTCATGTCTAATTGTGAATGGCCTGACCCTCCCCATCCCTAAGGTGCCCAGTAGACTGGGGTCCTGGGGCAAAATCACATCTTTCAAAGACATTCTATCATTTTAATTGTTAATTCAAGTAAGCTTTATCCCAATTTTTCCAAATCCACGAGCTGCCACTAAGAGTCTCTTTTCTCACCACCTACATTTTGCTACTACTAGGCTTTACAACCCATTCCACTTATGTAGTTAATATTCACAGTAAGAAAAATCGAATCCAAGTGTCAAGTTTATTACCTCATATTTTCTCTTCCAATTATATTCTCTCTGGGACATTCGAAGACCAGTGCTGACTGAGCCAATCCAAACACATGCATCAGGCAGAAAAATGAAATTAGGAATTTAAGAGTAAAGGTAGCAGAAGAATATTTTGAAATATCAATTTTCTTTCACCTAGTAGGTCTCCCCTTTCCCTTCTCCCCTTTCAAATGGGCCCTTTAATTTCTTCCCTCAAGGAGGCTTGTTATTAGGCTCCCAAGAATCCCACTCAAGGGTTGACAAACTCAAATGAGAACAGGCAGGTCACACAGACAAGGAAGTGGGCCATATCTAAGACAAGAGGGTGGGGTGTGGTCTGTGGCAAACTGCACAGCATGTGCTTCCCCTTTACTCAGCTCTAAGTGTTACCACATATAGGAATGAGGACCGAGTGCATGCTTTCTGAGTTTTTCGAGAAGAGCTCAAAATCTGGATTTTTTTTTAATGTGAAATTTTTAGATTTTCCTACTTTGCAACTTTAAATTTTTAAAACAAAACATGTATGTGGACCAAATCTAGTACAATGGTTGAATCCAGTCCATGAGCCTAGCATTTGTGACTTTTGTCCCAAATTCACTGGAGAATACAGAGTGATATAGTACCATCCATCTAAAAATCACCGATTGCAGAGAGCCTGAAGAAAGAGAGGCCTAGAGGCACAGGAACAGTGGAGACCTGTGCCCTCCTTCCTGGAACTCCTAAGATCTTTGACTCGGTAGCCCTTAGGATGCCCCAAGGGGGCTGGCACTAGGCCCTGAGTTCAAGCCCTCCTATGGACTCCTGTGCCCTAAGAGTACTCTGGAAGCTGCAGAGTGGCAGACTGAAGACTCTGAGGGCTGAAGTAAGGATTATTTCAGTGTTCACCAGCTTGAACGGGAGACCTGGAGCAGAGGGGACTCCCCCAAAATCAGGTGCTGCACATGACCTCAATACAAAGCCTAGAAGTAAGCCACAAGAATGTCTGAGGTTGAATTTGCTTCTAGGGTAGAAGTGGAATTACTTATTGAATGTCTTTCTCTTCTTCTCACAAGGGCAGACACTTTGGCTTGCTTGCCATCTAGCACTTAGCACGGAGCCCAGCACACAGTGGGGCTGCATTTTAAAAGAATTGTGCAAATGAGAAATGAGATATAAAATAATAATGTCACTTTCTGCACACAATTGGAACCCTCCCCCACCCCAAAATGAACAATTCATGAAGAATTGATTGCTTGACCTCTAAGCTGACAAATCCTGTGAATTGGAAAGCCTGGATGGTACCAATTAGAGAAGCACATTAAGGATGACTATTTTCAAGCAGGGGCAGTTGGGGAAATGGCAACCCTGGGCTTGGTAGACCAAGAGTCCTGAGCTTTAATTGAAAGATGGGAATGCATTTTCTCTAGAGCAAAGCTTTCCTGCCTCATCTTCTCAGTATACTGCTTAGCACCATGATACATGCAGTTGGGCACATTTAGTGACTGTAATTACTTAGTAACAATCAAAGTGCACCTCAGGCAAGACAGTTGAGTTGTGGCTGCAACTGTGGTTTAGAATATTCAAAGAGCATGGGTCAGGTTCCATATTCCCTTCAGTTGTTGGGAGCACACCAGCTCTCCAAACCTGGACCCACTGTTAGAGTCTATGCCCTCCCCGTTGTCACTCTGGCCCCAACAGCACTCTGTGACCTCAGCCTCCCAGGACTGGAACAGGGTACAACATGGGAGCTGCTCTCTGCCAACACGGATGTGAAGGGAGGGACCTGAGAGAGAGAGGAGCCAGCTGGATTTCAGTGTCTGGAAGACTCTGGTAGATGACCTCCCAGAAGTAATATGGCAACCAGGGTGGGCCCAAGGATGGGGACTGATGATAAACTCATACAATACCCTTGAGTCATTTTTTTAGAATTAAATGAATTTTGCATGCTTTCCCTATCACTAATGGGCTGCCCTTACCCATGACTTTGGGGTCATCAGTATTTTTGGCAGGATCAGATGCTTGGACAACCAGCAGCTTGCTTAGATCTGAAGTTCCCTGAATCTAAAGGGAAAAAGTCAAAACTATTCAGAAGAGTATCCTTTGGTGTCTAAGCTGCCTGCTTCCTAACCTTTTCAAACAATATAAGAAATAAGCCGAAACCCAGAACTGGGCTTCCAGCCTAAGCTTTCTATCTTTTTCATTTCAAATCCCCTTTCATGTTGTTTCATGTAGTTTTGGACCAAAAAATTATCTTTTACATCTTTCGACTTTCTACACCTTCCTTATAATCAGAACGGACGTTCAGAGTTTGGAAAACAGGGAACTCCCCAACATCCATAGAGATACTTGTACCCCTACAGTGATGTGCAAGGGCTCTGGGCCCAGACTTCCCAGGCAGCAGGACTGTTCTTTCCTTAGAACATTCACCCTGTGTGCCCATCAAAATCTCTCCTCCCAGAAGGCAAGTAGCATACATGTAACAATTATCACTCTCATTTCTAGACACCAGATACCATCTCCCTCGATCCTCACAAGAACCTTACCAGATGGCTGCTGCTGCTGGCCTCATCTTACTAATGGGAAACTGAGGGTCAGAAAGCAGCTCATCTCTGCTCACACACCAGTGGGCACAGGGGTCAGGCTTTCAACCCAAGTGTGCCTGACTCTAAACCTTGGTGTCTTAAACTAAACTATGAGCACTGCTCCTACTGTTCCCTGCCTCGCCCTCACCCCTTCCTTCAAAGCTAAAGAGATTTTCATTTTCTATTAGAAAAGCATTTAGATTATCATCACCCTCTGAATTACTGAGAGGTACAAAGATAAGAATGCTACAAAAGGGACAAATGCACTTTTTAGGAAGTTTACCCACTTTCCCAGGACATAAATTTTCACTTAACAACTTTTCCTTTAATTGATAAAGAGGCAGCAAGCATCTCTCCCAAAGAGGAGAAATATACTAGCAGATGAGAAAGATGCCCCCTCTTCTCACTCCCTCTGGGGAGAAAGCAAATTCTGGGTCCTCCTACTCCTGGGCTCCACCTTCCTGTCACCCCATCCTGTTATACCCTAAGTGTTCACACTCTCCTATTCCTTACAGAGGCAATGGAATGGTGAGGCCCAGGGCTCACTCTCAAGAGATGCTCACAGCCCCTAACATGGCAACAACATGATGTGGCCCCTCCTCAACTCCCTTCTTACTAATCAGTACAGACCCTTCAGAACCACACTGGTGTACAGTGTCACTGCCTCCGTGTAAGGTAGGGAAAATATACCTCTGTCCCTCCGGAGGCACAGCCTCACTCCAGGGCAAATGGCTTGGCATGCAGAGAGCTTGGGGATTCCAGCCCCCTGTGCCCCCTGGCCACATTCTTGGGTAGGGCATAAACTGCATAACAGTAGAGAAGCCCTGGGCAGGTTTTGACTGTTTTGTTAAGGTGAGAACTGCAGGGTCTTTCCATGTTATATTTCTTTTTAAAGTGGTAGGTTGAGTTTGAAAGTCATTTATGGGGCACCATGGAAAGCAAGCAACTCTTTAGAAATAACTGTCCTTACCTGCTCACAGGTTTTAGGCAAAATGCAAGGTGCAAGATATGGTACCTCTGTCTTAGTATCAATTACACTGCCATACACAATAATGACGAATTTCATGGTCACATTATCAATAGTCATTTCATTATAGCTTGATAAAGTCTCCACGTATGCCAGATTGAACGTCACACACTTCTGAAACTCTAAGTCCTACAATAGAATTACATTTTTTTCTATAAATCATGCTAAATGACACATGAAATCAAGAAGAAAGCAAATTCACTGATTGAGCTGAGTCCTTTGAGCATGTCAAAGGGCATTTAGACCCGAGGACCAACAGAATTTATCTAGAGTTCAGAATGACCTCAGACAAGATTATGAACTCAGGGTCTTTCTGTTGTTACTATTAGTAGTCCTGATTATGGCTGTCCAGCCTTACGTACAGGCTTGCATGAGCTCTCAATCCATCTCAGTAGGGTGGCCAGTTATGCCTTGTGGATTCAGTTTTATCCAGCAGTAAGCAAATACCCTACTGGGCAAGTGAACAAACAATAGCAAAAGCCAAAACAAAATAAAGTAATACACTGAGTCTGAATCATACATCAAAGTTCAGAATAATAGTCTTTAGAGCTGGAAGGGAGCTACTATATATGGATTGAATTGTGTCCCCCCAAAATTTATACATTGAAGTTCTGAGCCCTGGTACATTAGAATGTGACCTTATTTTGAAATAGGGTCATTACCACTATAATTGTTTAAGTTAAGATGAGATCATACTGGAGTAGGGTGGGCAAATAATCCAATATGACTGGTGTCCTAATGAAAAGTGGATCAGGCGCCTGGGTAGCTCAGTTGGTTACATGTCTGACTCTGGGTTTCAGCTCAGGTCATGATCTCAGAGTCAGGAGATTGAACCCTGTGTGGAGCACCATGCTCAGTGGGGAGTCTGCTTCTCCCTCTCGCTGTGCCCCCCTCCAGCTCATGCTTGAGTGTTCTCTCTCTAAAACAAACAAATAAATAAAAAGGAGAAATTTGGGAGCATGTGGCTGACTTAGTTGGTAGAGCACATGACTCTTAATCACAGAGTCATGAGTTCAAGCCCCACCCTGGGCATAGTCAAAGTGTTAAATAAAGATTCTCTGGGGGAGTAAAATCAGGGTAAAAGGCTATTACATCTTCTAATGTTTTGGATCTGTATTTTCTGTAATACAGATCTAGAATTTCTATAGATAATGAATATGCATTGCCTGAGAATTTTTTTTAAAAAATGAAAGGAGACGCACCTGGCTGGTTCAGTCTGTTAAGTATCTACCTTCAGCTCAGGTCATGAGGGTCCTGGGATTGAGCCCCAGCATCTGGCTCCCTGCTCAGAGGGGAACCTGCTTCCCCTTCTCCCTCTGTCCCTCCCCCCATTCATGCACATGCTCTCATATTCCATGGTCTGGATATGCCACAGTTTATTTATCCATTTATCTACTAGAGCACATCTTGGTTGGTTGTTTCCAAGTTTTTTGCAATTATGAATAAAATTGATAAAAATATCTGTGTTCAGATTTCTGTATGAATATACATTCATTTGGATAAATGACTCTTTGGATACTGTTTACTGGATCATATGGCAAGGGTATGTTCAGTTTTGTAAGAAGTCTCCAAACTGTCTTCTGAAGTGGCTGTACCATTTTGCATTCCTACCAACAATAAATGAGAGTTCCTGCTGCTCCATATCCTCACCAGCATTTGAGGTTGTCAGTGTTCCAAATGTTGGCTATGCTAATAGGTGGTAATGGAATCACATTGTTACATTTTTCTCAGAACGTAGGATTGTAAAAAAAGTTTACTTGCCATCTATATATCTTCTTTGGTGAGATGTCTCTAAAGATCTTTAGCCCGTTTTTTTTAGTTTAAATGCATTCTATTTTTAGACAACCTAAATGAAATGTTTTTTTTTCTTAAAAACAATGCCTCCGCTTTAAATAAATCAAGGTCAAAATAAATGAAGAGCTCAAGATGACATCAAATCCCATTTGTCTAAGTCCTGGCATTGTGTAGATGAAGAGCTGCAGCCAGTTATGACAACAGGTGATATATCCAAAGTAATAGCCAAATTTGTTAACATTTTTCTATTTCTGAATCTTAAATAAAATCATATGGGGTCATCCTCACAGTGGTCCAGCAGAGCAACCATGCCATCTGGAGTCATGTTTACACCAATAAAGAACTGATCATTTTTGAAACTAGCAAGGATGTGCTTGATTTGTTCTGCAGCCCCTGTCATAAAAGGATTTACTCTTTCTGGCCTCTGTTCCTCAAGTTTGCCTTTGACTGATTTCATATAATCTTTAATGTACTTGTAGGCTTCTTTTGTGAAGCTGGTTTCCTGCAAGTGATGGTTCAGGACGTATCAACACCAGTGATGACCGTGTTTTCAGTACCTTTGCCCACCGGGCCTTCGGCGGAAGCATTTCCACCAATGAGTAAGTCATCAGTGTTACCCTGTGTCCACCGACCATCTTTCCCCTCTGCCTCCAGGTACAACCCTTCCGTGATCAGCCAGGTCTTGCAGATGTTGGAAAACATCTCATCATGGCTGATGAGGCCCAGTAGATGAGCATGAGGACGGCTGGAAAGAAACACTGGCAGCACTAGCTTAACAGGAACCAGGAGCTCTAAGCAAGTTTGGCCAGAGGGGCTCTAGGGTGGGGGGTGGGAGGAGAAGGGAGTTGGGCTAAAACTGGCCCATTTTTAAAAAATATTTTATTTATTCATGACAGAGAGAGAGAGAGAGAGGCAGAGACACAGGCAGAGGGAGAAGCAGGCTCCATGCAGGGAGCCCAACGTGGGACTCGATCCCAGGTCGTCAGGATCACACCCTGGGCTGGCTGAAGGCGGCGCTAAACCGCTGAGCCCCCCCCCCCCCCCCCCCGGGCTGCCCAAGGCCCATTTTTTAATTGGATTATTTTCCTATTGTTGAGCTTTATGAGTTCTTTGTATATTTTGGATGATAGTCCTTTATCAGATGTGTCTTTTGCAACTATATTCTCCCACTCTGTGACTTGTCTTCTCATTCTCTTGAGACATGCTAATTTTTTAGCCCAACATTCATATCCAGTCTCTCACTGCAATGAACATTGTTGAATTCCAGGTCTGTCACTTCCCTAAGTTCCTAACTTATAATAGGGGGGCTCAAACAATTCTTAAATAGGATATAAATATGGATTGTAAATTATGCCAATCCAAGAACAGACTTGAGTTACTACTTGTTGGAGAAAAAGTTCACAAAAGGGTCTTAGCCACCCCAGTAAAGAGTTTGGAAAGGCAAGAGATTTATATTAACAGAGGTAGATTATAATAAACACCACCTCAATCAGTCCTCACTCAGGTCGTGGGAAAAGCCAACAAATAGCCAGCCCAAAGAGGAAACTCAATTAGCATCTCCCTGGGCCTGAGCAGATTGGCTCATAATGCTTGAGATTTTGAGCTTGAAAGCAGAAGTCATTATCTTTCTGTGTATTAGTGAAAAAGGATCATTATTTCCTTCAGACACCTGCTATTCCTCTTGTATCCCTATTGACAGAGTTTAGAGCAGTGGTTTTCATCATTGGATACACTTTAGAAAGACCCAGGGGGCTTCTTTTAAAAATGCCAAAACCCAGACACACAGGCAAAAAACAATGAATAAACAACAAACTTTATTACCTCATTCCAATTAATGCTTACTTAGTTCCTGGGAATCTACCTTTAGTATTTGCTGAATCTATAACGTTTTTTTTTTATTTTTATTTTTTCTTTTTTTTTAAGATTTTATTTATTTATTCATGATAGACATGGGGTGGGGGGCAGAGACACAGGCAGAGGGAGAAGCAGGCTCCATGCCTGAAGCCCGACGTGGGACTCGATCCTGGGACCTCAGGATCATGCCCTGGGCCAAAGGTAGGCACTAAACCACTGAGCCACCCAGGGATCCCCCTATAACTTTTTTTAAAGGTATGACTGCAGGTACCCTGGGAAATTAGCTGTGACGAATGGATTGACAATCTGCAGGAAGTCAGGACAAGAGTGGCTAAAATTCTAGAATCTCATTTTATTTTTTTTAAGTTTTATTTATTTAAGTAATCTTTACGCTCAATATGGGGCTTGAATCCATGACCTGAAGATCAAGAGTCACACACTCTTCCAACTGAGCAAGCCAGACACCCATAGAATCTCATTTTAGAAGGTCACAGTCTTAATTTCTCTGTCCCAAAAATATGAGATGCATTTTATAAAAAGTAAATAAAAGTTCATTCATATTTTAATTGTTTAACTTACCTCATCAATGAGACTTGATTCAAAATACTGATAGGCAACACTGAGTGCAAACTTTAGCCATATTTTGTATTCCAAAGATGGCCAGAAGACATCAAAACCTTCATACAAATCCTCCAGGGAGATAAAGCAGGCCTAAAACCACAAGGTATCAAACAGCAAACTTGATTGAGAACTAAATTATAAAGCCATCTGAAGACAAGGTGCCTATAAGATTTAATCTTCATCTAACTTAGAAGATGTTAGAAGAGTTATCGACTCTCGTACAATTCTGGTACTCTGCCATTTAAAAGCATTGCACTATAGAGAAACTGTTTTAACAAAATCTATAGTTCGATGAAAGCATATACCTAGTAATAGCTGGGAAAATTTATGCCGGTCCATAGCTATGATAAAAGATATGGTTTATGAGCCTAAGATTCACAAACTAAGCCACATAAACTTATCTATTTTTATTGCCACAGTCACTGAAGGGGGCTCCAAAGAGGAATTCAGCTGCCTCCATTTTGACCTTAAACTTTCTAGTTGGTTTTTTCTTTCCAGCTTGTTTCTTGGCCCAGGCCTCTGTGGGCAAAGCATCCCTAGATGGGAAGGAAACTATCTCTGCAAGCAGTAAGGACTGCCCTAAACCAGCAAGGCCCTGTCAGTGATCAACTTGACCTTCACTGACCACCTGCATGTATCCACCCATGCATTTTGCCCCACACTTTCCTTCTATAAACTTGGAAGTATTTTCAGCATGTTGAAGGGTCTTTGAGCTTCTAGTCGGCTGTCTTCTTCCCCAGGTGAACCTCACTGAAATTAATTCCTTTCTTGTTTCACCACCAGTCATGTCTCTGCCATTGGCTTTTGTCAGCCCTGAGTGGCTAAACCTGGTCTGTCAGGGAGCCCTGAGGACAGGTACTCTTGCACTCCTGCATGCTGGCCACAGGCTGACTCACTGTATTTGTTTCCAGAAGCCAATTGCTTACCTAAATAAGGAAGACTGCTCTTTCAGAATTCAAATTACATGAACTTCAATTGATTTCAGCTCAGCCTTGTGACTAAATTATGCCTCCTGTCCTCTTCCAGAAATGAAATGGTATAAAACTGACAAAGCAACATTGCTTTCTGTCCCACACTCCCCTAAGACTCTGGACCCTGCTCTATTGCATGTAACAGTCCCAAAAGCTAGAGAATTCCTTGTAAGCAGGAACTCTGGTTCATTTCTGTTTGAATCCCCAGTATCTAGTGGAATATCAGGCTGCTTATTTGTTGAATAGATAACTTCTAACTTAGCCAGTGAAAAATGGAAGAAAGTGAGTGTAAAAATAAGTATTCTTTAAAAACACTTCTCTTGGGGCACCTGGGTGGCTCAGTCAGTTAAGCATCTGCCTTCAGCTCAGGTCATGATCTCAGGGTTCCAGGATCAAGCCTTGCATCAGCCTCCCTGCTCAGCATGGAGTCTGCTTCTGCCTCTCCCTCTGCTCCTCCTCACCACTCATTCTCTCTTTCTCTCTCTCCCTCTCTCTCCCTCTTTCTCTACCTTTCTCTGTCTCAAACAAATAAAATATTTAAACATACACACATACATACCTAAAAACACTGCTTTCATAATGGGAATCATTCACTGAGTGCCTGTACATGCCAGGCACCTAACTTAGATATTTTCCTAATCTTCATAACATCAAAAGTTAGATGAGATATTCTCTCTTTTAATAAACAAGGACACTAAAAAAATAAAAATAAAATAAAAATAAAAAATAAACAAGGACACTAAGACCCAAAGAGGTTAAAATAGCTCACTCCAGGTCTTACAGCCAGGATGTGAGACATTAAATCTTTTTTCAATTAGTCTCTGCTACTTCACAGTATCTGAGTGGGCAATATCAGAACCCAAAGGAAGAAAAGATGCTGGCATTCCTTATTTACTTCAGGAAGAATGAACTAATAGCCCACAATACAGACAGAACCAATTTCTTACCTGTAAAATAGTTTCACAGATGGCTGTATATTCAGTTTCACGCTTAAGCAGACAGCTCAGCTCTCCAATTATGTCCCCGCTGGTACAGTATTCTGTAAACATGGATTTGGACCCTCTTTCAGACCTTAGGCTACTGTCTATTCCAAAGGTAGGAGGTGAACTATGCAACTGCAAAGTGAAACCCAAAATTAAAAATCCTTGACCAAACCATAGGAGCTCCCACTGTTTCCTGCATTATTAAAAATGGAAGGAAAAGATTCTTTATGAACACTTTAAGCTGTGAAAAGGGTATTAAGGCTTCCAAAAAAAAAAAAAAATCACAGTTTCTTTCACATTTCAATTCTCCAAGGGAAGGATTGTTTCCAATCTTTATCTTTACGGATGACCCCATTTACAACTTCCTTATACCTTCCTTCTATAAAAAATCCTACCAAAAGTACTGATTGCAGTCTGCAACTAATGCAACTACCCACTCCGAGTCTATTAGAAATTCTTATCATACTGGGCTAGTGCCTCAGGTGGATGAAGGCCTTTGATTGCATGGATCCAGAAATCAGATGCCATGAATGCCTCCAAACCAAGCCATGATTTCCATCAACCATGTCACCCTTTAAAATGCTTCAGAATAATTTCCACAAGGGGTGCTTGGTTGGCTCAGTCCATAGAGCATGTAACTCTTGATTTCCAGGTCCAGTCTGAACCCCATGTTGGCAGTAGAAATTACTTTAAAAAAAAAAATTTCCATGGGCCATCAACAGAAAAAAGGTCTTTACGGTGAGTCACTTCGGGAAAAGAATGGATAGACGTGAATGTGGAAAATAAGAAAGTTATGAGATTTCAGGAGGAACCCACAAGAATCAACCAGAAGGATTACAAAATTTTTCAGAAAGTTTAGCTGTAAACATCAAAAAGGAAGGCTATTGTTCAGGACACAGGAAACAGGGAACAAAGGGTCACTGAAGAAGTTGCTATGAAACTGCCCCCTCTGCCAGTGATTACCATTCAGATTTTTAGAGGCATTCATGCTTCCAAAGGGCTTTGACATTCTTCTAATTCTGAATGCAGTTGAAAGGCTCTTTGAGCAAGGAACAATGTCTCTGTCTTTTTATAAACCAAGAAAAGAAGATAACATCTGCAGGCAGATTTTAAAGAAGTGCTTCCAAGATTCCTCTCTTTGTTATTCAATCAAACATTAATCTAGAGACCACTGGGAAGGGACTTTGCAGATGTAATGAAGGTTACTAATCTACAGATTTTAAAGAGATGATTCTGGATTATCCTGGTGGGCCAATGTAATCAATCACAAGGACCCTCCAAAGTAGAAAATGAAGCAGAATCAGATGTGGCATCAAGAGAGGGATTGGCTGTACTTCAGTTCTGAGATGAGTACCTGTGTCCAAAGATGGAAGGAGCTTTATGAGCTGGAGATGGGTCACAGCTGACAGCCTGAAAAGAAGCAGGGACATCTGTCCTATGGCCATAAACAACTAGATTCTGCCCACAACCTCAATTAATCTGGAAATGGATTCTGTCCTCAGAGTTTCCAGAAGGGAACACTGCTCTGCTGACCCCTTGATATTGGCCTTGTTAGACTCAAGCAGAGAAACCAACTACTCCCATAGGACTTCTGAACAAACAACTATGAGATCATCAGTCTAAGCCATTAAATGTATGCTGAGTTCCTATGGCATCAACTGAACACTAACAAAACAACTTCAGCCCAAATATTGTTGGACTTACTCTTGAAGAAGACTTAACTGGTCCAGTCATTGCAGGAAAATTCCCCAAAGGAAAATGTATTTTGCAGTTTTTAAGTGTTCAATTTGATATATCTAACAAACACAAGTAGCAGTGTATTTTTGTTATGATTCTAATGGGAGCATAGTACAAGGATTCTACTGGAAGCAGCATAGAATAATGGCTAAGGACATGGATACTGAGGCCAACTCTATGAGTTCAAAGTCCTCCTTGACCTCTTACTGTGTACCCTTACTGGGAGACAACTGAATTACTTTCTCTGTGCACCCGTTTTCCCATGTGAAAAATAAGGTAGTTATAAGAATTAAATGTCATAATATGTTGCCATTTTGACCACCCTTTAAAAAACTACAACGGATCTCTTCATCTGTCAATTACTTCTAAATATGACATATTTTGCTTATATATTTTGCTCACTGTCCTATCTCCTTCCATGCCTCTACTAAAAAGCAAACTCTAAGAAAGCAGGGATTTTTGTCTGTTTTGTCAATTCTGTGCCTAAAATGAACAGTGCCTGCTTCATTTGCTTCACAAATGAAGCAAACATTTGTTGAATGAATGAATGAATGAGTGAATGAACAGCACCAGGCATTCTGTTGGGCCGGCGGGATCAAGGGAGATCGGGAGGCACCAACAAAATGGCAGCAGACCTTCCACCTTGTTGCCCCCACCTCAGAACTTTCCCAGCACCAGCAGACCCCCCCCCCCCACAGGACATGTCATCAGGGGCAGACTGGACCTGTGCAGGAAACCTGAACCATACTTACTCAGACCCCATATAAGGGCATGGGCAGTTATTGCCCCAGGCCGATTTCACCAGTAATATGCCTGATACCTATCACTCCGTCCAGACACACAGCCCCTTACCCCTCCCCTGCTAAAAAGCAGCTTGCCCTCCCCTGCCCGCGACTTCCCTGCTCTCTCCCTCCCCTGTGGGCCCAAAACCTTGCCGGAGAGCCCGTCCCATTAAAAGCCTATTTCGATTAACTTTTGCTGGGCCTCTCTATTCCATTTCACTACCCATCAGATTAAACCTGAGACATTTCATAAGTGCTATACATATATTAGTCTTATATTTATCCTAATAGCTTATTTCCATGATCAATTGGATATCTTTAAGGTCTGAAAATATCTCTTCCAAAATAGAAAGTCAAATATATTATGTGCACTATAATAAGAGTTTCTCACTTGTAAACATCATTTAGGATCTAGGAATTATTTGGGCCATAAGCTAGGGGCTCACCCATGTATGTATTCAGCTACCAGCATTCAGACTCTAAAGGATTCTTATTCTCCTCACTCTATAACATCTTTCTCTGATCAGCAAAAGTATCCTGTTGGTTAGGTAAAAGTCATAGTTTCAATCCTAATTCTATTCGACCTCCGTAAGGATCTGACACTGCGGTCAGTCCACATGCCCTCACTCTTGACTGTCATTTCCTTTAGTAATTCAACCACTCCAAGTATTGGGTTCCCTTACCACTTCCTCCCAGGATTGCCTTGAGGAATAAGTAATGACTATAAAAGCATTTTGATAAATGAGAAATGCCCTTAAGATGTTGGGTATTATCTTTCAGCTGTAGTGTTCACTCTGAGTGAAAATGGTCTCATTTATAAATTATGTTAAAAATTTAAAGCTTTCAAGGAACCTGGGTAACTCAGTCGGTTAAGCATCAGTTCTTGATTTCAGCTCAGGTCATGATCTCGGGGTCCTGGGAAGGAGCCCCAGTTCGGGCTCCATGCTCAGCACAGAGTCTGTTTGAGTTTCTCTCCCTCTGCCCCTCCCTCCTTCCCTCACCCTCTCTCTCAAAATAAATATATAAATCTTTTTATAAAAATTTTAAACTTTCCAGGTTCCTAAATTTCTCCTTATGTTAAAATCATATATTTCAAAATAAATTTTCAGTAAAGTATAAATAGTCCCTTACAATTGCCATTCCTGAAATAATTAAGTAGATTCCTTGTGGCATTTCACCTTCTCTACAAATTACATCTCCATAATCAAAATAGGCAAGTTTGGCTCTCTCCTGCAAGAAAAATTAATGAGAGTCAACACAAAATTTTCATCGTCTTCTTTTCTAAATAGAAATAAAACTTTAAAGCTAAAATGGTTTTCAAGTAGAAAAATAAAAACGTACAAACTATATTCTTTGGTTGTTAATGAATTATAACATGCTGACATACCTCATCAAATTTTTTTTGAATCTTTTATTTATTTATTCATGAGAGACACAGAGAAAGAGGCAGAGACACAGGCAGAGGGAGAAGTGGGCCCCTCGCAGGGAACCCCATGCGGGACTCGATCCCAGACTCCAGGATCATGCCCTGAGCCGAAGGCAGACGCTCAACTGCTGAGCCAGCCAGGTGACCCCTCATCAACCTTTTTAAAAGAAAGGGACCAGGGCAGCCCCCGTGGCGCAGCGGTTTAGCGCCGCCTGCAGCCTGGGGTGTGATCCTGGAGACATCGGGCTTCCTGCATGGAGCCTGCTTCTCCCTCCACCTGTATCTCTGCCTCTCTCTTTGCTCTCTCTGAATGAATAAATAAATCTTTAAAAAAAAAAAAAAGGGACAAGCAAGCAAACTGTAGATTTTGTGATTAGTACCAGACCAGGCACAGTGATTGGTAGAAATACCCAATAAATGCTCAATTGAGTAGATGTTTACAATAAAGTGTGAAACTTCGGACAATGGAGACAGAGACAGGATGCTCTGGAAAAGTCCAAAAAGGCCACAGGACCCTGTCTTGGGTGTCCATGGAAGACTTTAAAGAGGAAGGAAGAGCTAAGCTGAGGCCTGAAGAAAGGGTAACAGATAGCCAGGATACAATGAGTTGAACATCATTCAGGGCAGAGGACTCAGTATATGTGAAGACCCAAAGGCAAATAGAACATCTGCACTTGGAGTAACTGCAGAAGATTCAGTATGTCTCACACAGGGAGGAGTGTGGACCAGCACTGAGTTATCAATTTAGCTTCAATAGCCATAGTGTGTAGGATTCCCAATACTTTAGCAACTCACAACATTCTAGTTTTTTTAAAACCAGAAGAGAATAAATAACTTCTAGGTTGAGGAAAATATTTTAATACTAAAACATTTAATACTAATATATAATTCATCTTTATACTAACACAGTCATAAAATAGAATTTTTTGTCATTTTTTTATGTGGGAAGACTCTCACTAAGGCCAAAGTGCCAGGACCCATGAAAGTCATCCTGCAGCCCCAGTGGAGCAAGGACTGGAGAGGTGAGCCAGAGCCAGGCCTCTTTAACATTAAGAGTTTTTTTTTTTTTTTATAAATTAATTTTTATTGGTGTTCAATTTACCAACATACAGAATAACACCCAGTGCTCATCCCGTCAAGTGTCCCCCTCCGTGCCCGTCACCCATTCACCCCCACCCCCCGCCCTCCTCCCCTTCCACCACCCCTAGTTCAAACATTAAGAGTTTGAGCTTTTTCCCAAAACCAGGGAGGAGCAACAGAATGGTTTTTAACAGAAGCATCAGGGTGACAGATTTGCATTTTTCAAAGATATGTAGGAAACATATCCCTAAATCATTCACAGTGGTTATCTCTAAGTATGGGGTAGGAGTGACGAGTTTTCACTTTTTACTTCATGTACTTCTGAATTCAGTGTTGAAACCAGCATGGATGGCTTCACAATTTTTTTTTTTTAAAGTCACCTAAAGCCAATTATCCAGCGTATATATTGTTCAGACTTTGGTTTTCTACCACTGACTTTTGGCTTATCATTATAGACTACCACATTTTTAAAGGATTTTTTTGAAAGATTTTATTTATTTATTCATGAGACACACACAGAGAGAGGCAGAGACACAGGCAGAGGGAGAAGCAGGCTCCCTGCAGGGAGCCTGATGCAGGACACCATCCCAGGACCCCAGGATCACAGCCTGAGCCAAAGGCAGATGCTCAACCACTGAGCCACCGGAGTGTCCCGACCATTATGTTTTTAATTAACCACATCAGTTGGAGGATGAAAGAAGGGAGTAGTAGTTAAAATTAAGTATTGTTGCTGTGATGGAAACCAAGACTGAAATTACAGCCTACAATCAGGGGTGTTTATTTTGTTTACTGTGGATTTTAGTTAACCACATAATCCATGGGCTGTCCCTAATGAGAATAATGCCTGTGTATTCCCAATTCATCACAATTTTTGTTCTGGTAAAATCCGATTGAAATGGCTATCAAGAACCTATGTATTTGTGCGCCTGGGTATCTTGGTCAGTTAAGCATCTGGCTTTGGCTCAGGTCATGATCTCGGGGTTCTGGGATCAAGCCCCACGTCCAGCTCCCTGCTCAGTGGGGAGCCTGCTTCTCCCTCTCTTCTCTGCACCCTTCTCTCTCATGTGCTATCTCCTTCACTATCTCTGTCTCTCTCTCTCTCTAATAAGTGAATATAATCTTAAAAAAAAAAAAGAAGAACCAACATATTACAACATATTAAGGAAAGGGGGCACTTAGAGTGAGGGAAGTCAATAAGGGGGTAAAGAAAGTCCAACAGCCTTACAGAGGTTTGGAAAGTTAGGGACAGGAAGAAGGTTGTGCCCCAGTGACAGGTTCACCTTAGGTATCTATGAATCATTAATTTATAGAGTGATCTTCTTCTCATCAGTTTCCCATTCCTCCTCAGTCACTGCTGGATGGTCAGTTAATTACATTTGGAAAATTACTACCTATAAAGAACCAAATTCTAATTTTATCTTAAATTGGATTTTAACAAAACTAAGCAGAATGCAAATTATAAGAAACACCTTTGAGATACCTTCTTCCCAGTCCAAGACCATCTCCTATCTCTCAGGACTATTTATTTGAGATCTATTTTCCAACTATCCCTTATGGCCACTGGCCATCCATCCCATCAGATTTCCTCCTCCTTCTTGCAGCCACACTTGTACTCGCCAAAGCAGAACATCAGACCCAAATTAGGCCAGGTGGATTTCTCTCTCAAGAATTTGAAATGAGAGGCAAAGAGCCTGGGAATTGAGAACTGAGCCATGAAATCCAAGTGCTAGAAGAAAGGTCCACAGATGCCCACCAATAATATTCCTGAAGTGGCCTGAATCCCACCCTGCCCATAGTTAGTTAGTTATTTCTTAGCAGCTTCTATACACCACCCCATTGTCTTTCCAGGTCAACTTCCCCTTTTCTTAAACTAATTCAAGTAAGTTTTTATTACTTTCAACCAAAAGAGTCTTAATTCAAGTAAATTTCAGATCAATTTCAAAAGAAAAATTCAAAAATTTCTGGTATGAAGGAAACATTAGTATAGCAAAAAAGATATTCAAAGCTCAGTAGAATCTCATTATGATTGCTATCTTTCTAGAAAACAAGCAAAATGCCCTAATTGTGGACAAATGCCTTATATATCTATTTGCCTAGATCACAAAGCATGGTACAACCAAATTTGTGGTAAAGCAAACACCATTCTTTGTCACAGTGTTTTCCTGATTCTAAAAATCTAACAGAGGTTTTGATTGGTTGATGAAAAAGTTAAAGCCTTATAATTCATACAATAACCACTTAAAACCAAAGCCACAGGGCAGCCCAGGTGGCTCAGTGGTTTAGCACCACCTTCAGCCCAGGGCATGATCCTGGAGACCCGGGATCGAGTCCCATGTAGGGCTCCCTGCATGGAGCCTGCTTTTCCCTCTGCCTATGTCTCTGCCCTTCTCTCCCTCTCTCTCTCTCTCTCTCTCTCTCTCTCTCTCTCTGTCTGTCTCATGAATAAATAAATAAAATCTGTAAAAAAATAAAAAAATAATTAAAAAATAATTTAAAAAATAAAACCAAAGCCACAAAATGGTAGTCTCTGAGTCACATCCAATCCAAGGATGTATTTTGTTTGGCCTGCATGATATTTTCAAAATTCTAAATTGGTGTCAAATTTTTAAAATTTGGAAATTTCACATAAAAATTCAGATCTATGGATTTTCTTTAAAAAACCTGACCTCTATATTATTAAATATAATAGTCAATTTTCAATCTTCATCTTATTTGACCTCAGCCGCATTTGACATAGTTGCTTATGGGCTCCTTTAAGAAATACTTTCTTCACTCAGCTTCTAGAATACTACTCTCCTTTAGTTTTCCTCCCACCTGATGGATTACTCCTCAATTCTTTTTTTTCCAGTTTTACGAAGTTGTTCAAGTTTAAGGTATACAGAATAATGACTCGACATACATATATTATGAAACAATTGCCACAAGTTTAGTTATCCATTACCTCATCTAGTTACCAAAAAAAATTCTTTTCCTATTATCAGAACTTTTAGGATTTAATCTCTTAGTAACTTTAAAATATACCATGCAGCAGTGTTAAATACATAGCCATCATGTTGTACAGCACATTACAGTACTCATTTATCTTATAACTTGGGAGTTTGTACCTTTCGACCATCTTCCTTCAATTTCCCCTCCCTCCATCCTCTACTAGGTAACCAGAAATCTGCTCTCTTTTTCTATTCTTTTTCCTAATTCTTCCTCATCTTCACTCTAAATGTTGGATAGCCCAAGACTCAATTCCTGGATGTCCATAATAATTCCTTAAATTAGTGCATCAAGTCTTCATACCTTAAATATTATCTCTATTCTGGACAACTCCAAAATCTCTATCTCCCATTTGGCCTCCCACCTGAATTCCAGGTGCCTACTCAACATCTCCATTTGGATGTCCAATAGCTTTCTCAAATTTAACTCATTCAGAATCAAATGCTTGTCCTCTCCATATAAATCTTCTCTAAGTCAATGGGAATTCCATTCTATTTTCAGACTAAAATCCCAGAAGTTGTCCTCTCTCCCTAACACTCCTTCCATAAATACCTATCAACTCTACCTTCAAGACATCGGGAGTCTATTTACCACTTGAACTAATCCAAGCCACCATCCCCTCTTGCCTCCATTACAGGAATCATCTCTCTGGCTTGCCCTTGTCCGCTTACAGACTATTCCCAACAAAGCAACAAGGTGGTCACTTTTAAATGTAAGTTAGATCATATCACTTCTCTGTTTGAAGCCTTCCCATATGTTTCCATTTAATTCAGAATGAAAGCCGAAGTCCTTATACTGGCCTACAGAGTTCTACAAACTCATGCTCTGCAACTATTCCAGCTTCATCTGGTCGCACCATCTCTACTTCTGCCACAGGGGCTTTGGGGGATGTTCCTTGAACAAACAGCACACTCCACACCAGAGCATTGCACTTGCCTGGGATGCTCTTCTCTCAGATTATCTACATGGTATACTATTGCTTGCAGATCTCTCTTCAAATGTCACTTTATTCAAGCAGCCTTCCCTGATTATCCCATATAAAATAGCTTCCCCACTATATTTCCTTTTCTTCCTTTTTCTCCATAGCATTGACAATCATCTAATAGACTATATATTTGTGTATGTTGGTGTATTTTTTGTCCATTTCTATCCATATAATATAAAATCCAAAGCAAGGACTTTACCTATTTTGTTCACTGGCATATCTTCAAAACTAGAACAGTCTCCAGCACAAAGAGGATATTCAAAAAATATTTCTTGAAAGAGTCTAAAATTGCAAAGCAACACTCAGCTGACTTTAGACAGAGCATGAACTCTGGAATATGCCACAGTTCTCATTGTTCCCTATAATACTGTATACAGCTTGTTTTACTTTTATATCATCTGCCTGGCCTGTATAGTAATTTAAACTTGAGACTCATGCTTTAAAAAAAAAAAGTCTTTTTCAGAGTGTGTATCGGGAAGTCCAGAACTCTACAACATAAAGTAATATGGGATTGGTTAATAATGAGTCGCACAGATACCTTATCCTAAGCAGATAAGCCATTGTGGAAAACCATCTTTGCCCTTTGGCTCAAAATGATATCTACTCTTCCGGGTTTTGCTGGGCCTCCATTTTGGCTTACCCTTCATTGGCCATCACAGGATTCTTGCTTTGAATATGCTTTTTTGTTAGTCTTGCATTAGGAAGTGGAAAATAATTATTATCAAACCTGAGCCAGAATAGAAGACAGAATCTTTACCTTGAAGAACTCAATGAGAACATCTTTATTTTCTAGCCAAACAATATTATGAAGATATTTGTCAGGAGTAGGTGGTGGAATTGCCATTGGAAAGTTATTCAGTGCTTTTATTTTTGCAAGAAATACCTGAAAACAAACAATCAAAATAATGATGATCATATCCTGTGAAAAAGGACAATAGGTAAAAATTTAGTAAATCTAACAAAACTACCATTATGTAAGCTTATTTTGATTTATTTATTTATTTATTTTTTTACTTATGATAGAGAGAGAGCAAGAGAGAGAGGCAGAGACACAGGCAGAGGGAGAAGCAGGCTCCATGCACCGGGAGCCTGACATGGGATTCGATCCCGGGTCTCCAGGATCGCGCCCTGGGCCAAAGGCAGGCGCCAAACCGCTGCGCCACCCAGGGATCCCGCTTATTTTGGTCTTGACTCAGTTTCTTTCACCCTACTTAAATTATCCTCTAACCTTTTTTGGTCCCTATTCTTCTCTTAACTCATTGAATTTATGAATTGATATATTAACTCATATTGAACTTAGTATCTCTATAATCCAGTTAACACTGTATTCCACTGTGTCTTAATTTCATATCACTTAAACTTCACAGTTGGTTACTGTACAATTTAATGCCACATATTCTTAAATCTTTTACATATGTATGATTTGCTTCTCTAAATTCTTCTAATTTTGAAGGATATAGTTCCAGTTTTGTGGGTTCTCAGAAATCTTCTCTGGCTTCCCTATAAGGTAAGAGATAATCACCTGTCTGTCTTATTCTAATGGCATACCCTACAACTCTCCCTATGGAACTAATTACATTATAATATTATTACTTTTACTTATCTGCCTCACCTTCCTATTGTGTAACTTTGTTGACTTCATGAATAAAGGACTAAATGAAAGAATGAGGAAGAGCCCATGGACTTTGGGGTCAATAGTGTATTAAGTATTCCAATCTCCTTAAGAGTCCATGGTACATACCAGGTATTCAACATATATTTATTCAATTAAATTGGATTAGCTAATCAACTCCTTACAACTAGCTCCTTATGAATTGGAATATAATTACATCTCTTTGGCTGACAATTAAGCAATCAGTATTGCATTCAATAAGTAACTATTGAATGATTGATTTACCTATTACCTTTCTAAACAAACCTATAGGAAAAAGATCTCTCTCTTCATAAGGGCTATAATTTATTTATTTAAATTAATGGGTATCAAGCACTCAGTTGAATCTTATATAGCCTTCAAAGTGATGAATGAAAAAAATAGAATAGAAAACACAGTGTGTGTTGAGATATAGCTTGAAGAATACTGTAGTAGCCTTTTTCTTCCTTCTACCAGACACTAAGGAAGAATCATATTACCCATTTAGTCCTTCACCATGATATTAGTCTAAAGAGATAGAGCTTTAAAGGGGAAAGCTGGCCTGTCCCACACCCATTTCCCTTTGGGGACCATGGAGAGGGGACTATGTCCAGGGAATGACCAGAAGCACAGTGCCTGTGAAACTTGGCCAGGAGCTGCCAGTGACAAGGAAAAGCATGTGATACCCGGAACAGCAACACAGACAGAATGTAAGACCGGAACTTCCATGTTTCTGCATGCTAGGAAACAGATTTTTGCAAAGGATAGAAAGAACAATCACATTTGCACAAATAAATGATCTAGATGGTACATGTGATGGAGTGATAGTACTAAATATTAAACATGTTTTCCTCTGTCTTATGTCCCTAATTTTTTGCAAATACATTTATCATTTTTCAAAAGTCTATTTATCAGCTAACTATTGATAGTGCCTTCCCTGCTCCTCTCCTCTTAGAACTGTCCCCTCCCTGACCTCCACCAAAACGCACAAGCACACATACACACAAGCTGATCCTCTCCCTATGATGTTAACATTATGTGATTCCCACTCCCTTGCCACAGCTGCTAGGACCAGTCAGTACACATTCCACCAGTAGACAGAGAAGCAGAAAAATGTAGTTGAGCTTGTAGAGGGAGCCAAAAGAAGATGCCAACTCTGATAGGAAATGGAGAATCTGGAAAGCTTTCTATCCATAGTCAAGTCACTTCCAAGGCCCGGCCACATGGTCTGGCTACTGTGGGTTCGGTAAGAACATCATGTCTCTTTATAAGAAACCCCTAGCCCTATTTCTTGACTAAGTCTAACTCAGGTTAGTTTCTGTTACTTGCAACCAAACAGTTTTGATATGGTGTGCACCAGGTAGCACTGGCTCTAGCTGCCACTGGCATTAACAAAGGCTATCAGCAAATTAGAGTTAAAATTTTATTTAATCTTCCTCACTCATTACACTCTGCTCAAGTAACAATGCAGGCTTGGGTGTTGGGCCCATGGAATCAAGCAACATGGAAAACTGCTTCATTACCTTATTCATCTCGATGCCCTCATGTTTATCAATAATGCCTCTTGACCAAAGGAAGGTGAGGTTTTTCAGAGCTTTAGCAATAACACTCCGGATTGCCTGCCTAGTCTTCAAAGCAATGACAACATCACGACCCTCATGCTCTATGAGTCCTGAAGCAAATAAAACTATCAGTAAGCAAACAATGCAATAATCACAATAATAACTTATATTTGTTTAATACTTTATAATTTCCAAAGTATTTATTCAATACCTGTCATTCCTATTTCATACAGAACTTGTGAGGCTGATAGGACTAGAGTTATTTTCAACTCCATTTGATGGATGAGAAAATTGAAAACTGGCTTCCCCTACTAGCTAGGAGAAAATCACTTTCTCTGTCTCATTCCCATGGCATGTCCTACATATCTCCACTGTGGAACTTACAACATTGTGATATTTTGATTTTTACTTATTTCTCATCCTACATATCATATAACTTTGTTGGGTGAATAAATGACTTAATGAAAGAGCCCCTGGACTTCCGCTCATGGAGCTTTCTGAGATCAAAGCACATATCTTTTCCTCTTTAATGAACACAAGAAGTCATGAACTAGACTGTGAGTCATGGCCAAAACTCTTTCATCTTAACATGGGCAGAATGCCTGACATCTGGAAGGTACTTTTTTTTTTAATTGTAATGAGCTGGTTGGTAAAATGAAGAATAGCATAATCAGGAGCATAGGTCAATGGAGCACTTGACTCTTGATATCAAGGTCATGAGTTTGAACCCCACAATGAGTATGGAAACCACTTAAAATAAAAAAATTTAAAAAAGGAACTTGGGTTTCAATGTCAAGTACACCTTAGCTGGAGATCTAGCTCACCATTTACCACCCATATGATTTCAGGCAAATTAAACTTTCTGAACCACAGCTTCATTATCTATAAGATGAAGATAATAATAGTATTTGTCTCATAGAGTAGTCCTAAAGATTAAATGAGATAATGCATATAATGTATATATAATGCATATAAATCTGTTAACACGGTTCCTGACATAATTAGCATTTGATAATCAGTTGCAGTAACCATGTGGGAACAGGTACTTCCTTTTACAGGACTAAATCAAGAGAACTTTGTAATATTACATACTAAATCTAAATCTAAAGCATAATATGAGACAGCAGCCCCTAGGCCCCTAATCTTTAAAAGCACAGAAATAAAAATCTACCTATATGAAAGGTAATAATGGATTCTGGATTTTTTGAGACAGTGCCAAAATTTCTGACACATCTCCAAATTCATATTTTTTTAAAGATTTTATTTATTTATTCATGATAGTTACACACACACACACACAGAGAGAGAGGCAGAGACATAGGCAGAGGGAGAAGCAGGCTCCATGCAAGGAGCCCGACATGGGATTTGATCCCGGGTCTCCAGGATCGCGCCCTGGGCCAAAGGCAGGCGCCAAACTGCTGTGCCACCCAGGGATCCCCAAATTCATAATTTTATCATTTATCATTAGGCCATGTTCTTCCAATTTTGATTTGGAAAGTATTATCCCCATAAATCTATATGGCATCTTACAAAGTGGTTTTACTTGATTTCTTTTATAATTTCCATTTATCAAGGACCTACTGTATGCCAGGCTCTCTCCCAGAAACTTTTGCACACACTGAGAGCCTGGTCTACCGCCCCTTGTGAGGAAAGCAGACTCAAGAAGCTTTGTATAAAATCCTAAGACTCCTGCTGCACACTTCAACTGAAGCAGAGTGCTTATGGATGCTCAAAAAATGACATCTCTTGTAGCTCCACATTCCTGAGTATCTTTGCAAGCAAAGTAAAACAAAACAAAAACACCCTTTGTCAAATGTAATTTTCATGTGTCTTTTTCTTATAGACTTAAGGAATCTGATCTTGCCACTTTAATACACTTTCTACACTCTTCATTATTTCCTCTATGCTTCCATAGCAAATACATGACCTGCTTTAACTTTCTGCAATTGTCTACTGATACTCTCATACCCTCCATTATGCATTTTTGGCATACCTGGCCTATTGCATGCATTTGATAAATGCTTATTGAATGAATAAGTGAGTAATTGAAGGAAAGCATGACTTTTCTTACCTTGGTTAAATTATGGAATAATAAGGTGTGATTTCAGGAAGTCAGATATTCCTACTACCTACCTAGTTCTTTGACAGCATCTCGTTTGTTGGTTTCCAAAATTTCATACAATTTCTGCAAGAAGTCAAGAAAGACATTAATCTGTTATTACACCAACTGCATATCTGGCTTTAAAATCTGAGAAAAAGAAGAAATCTCACTAAATTTATGATTTGGGGAAGATGTTTAGCTCAATTCTCTCCTCTGTGCCAATTCTGCTGCTTTCCTCACTCATGCTCCCACTCATGTTAACAGTGAATAGTGTGCAGTCAGTAGCCTGCATAACTACTGGACCTAGCCTTTCTCAGAAAAGATTAGTGTGCATTTCACTGTGCACCAAGGAGAATTCTCACAGATAAAACTCCATTAAGAGAGAGCCAACTGAGCAGCTTTTTGGGCAGCCAGCCTATTAGGAGCATAAAAACAACTGCAATAATGAGAAATGATGGTATTGATTAGTTCCATGATTCCTATAGATAACTCTTGGCATAATGAAGAAATGGCTCTACTCCAAGGCTAACCATGGTGTTCAATCATACAGTAGGTATTGGTCAGATGCCCCCTATGTCCCAGGCACTGCTCTTCATGGAGCTTATTCTCCAGCTTTAAATCTTTCTGGAGCTTTCACTTGGCAGCAAACAATCCACAGTTCCCTAGGATTGTCAGGTACAAATGACTGAAATCCTTCACCCAATTAATACACAGCATAATGCTATTTACAGGAAAGAATAACAAATACAGTGCTATTTTACTGGTTTGCTTTATATATTTATATAATTATATATCCATTTTAGGGGTATGTGGGTGGCTCCATTGGTTAAGTATCTGCCTTTGGCTCAGGTCATGTTCCTGGGGTCCTGGGATTGAGCTCCCCAGCTGGTTCCCTGTTCAGCAGGGAGTCTGCTTCTCCTTGTCCCTCTACACCCACACTAGTGATCTCTCTCTATATATATCTCAAATAAATAAATAAAAATCTTATAAAATAATTTATCTATTCATCTAGAGAGAGAAAGAGAGAGAGCATGCATGTGTGAGTGGGGTGAGGGGTAGTGGGGGTGGGGGGAGAGAGAGAATCTCCAGCAGACTCCTCACTGAGCACAGAGCCTGACATGGGGCTCCACCCCAGGGCCTTGAGACCAAGACCTGAACTGAAATCAAGAGTCTGACACTTAACCAACTGAACCACCCAGGCACCCCTACTGGCTTGTTATCTAAAGTTTAAGTAGCTAAAGTTAAGTTTTTGTTGTTTTGGTCTAGAAAAATCACATGTAATAAATATAAGATTTATTTATTTATTTATTTATTTATTTATTTATTTATTATATTTGAATATAAAATTGAGGTATACAATTTTTATTAAGTTGCTTCTTTTCACTTGATAACACTGAGTCAATATTGGGAAGGTGCCAAATTAATGGCCTGTCTATGGCACCCACACACTGTGGTCCCACCCTGCTTGCACAGGGGCTTAGGTAGCTTCCAAGACCCCTTCAAATCAAACTGGATCAATAGCAACTCCGTAAAAACTCTATAAAATGACCTGCACAACAGAGCATAGGAACTGACTCCTACCCACAAACAGTACATAATCATTTAAAGCCTGGACCTACATGTGACTCCTCTAAAAGTGAGCTGCCACTGGTTAGTTTTTGAACCACATCACTTTCAGAGTAAACACAAGTTTGATATCTAAATACATCTCAAAAAAAAAAAAAAAACCACACAACATTTAAATCTTTACTGAAGTCTCCTTTATAAATGCCAAAGGGGAATTTGTTTTATCTTACACTTTGAGGCAAGTGCCCCCAAATGTCAAATGCCTTCTCCCAAACTCCTCAAAACACATTACCTCCCATGACTGACTGCTGTTTTTTTCCCACCTCTTCCAGTTTCTGAAATATTTTCTTCTATGAATAGCTCTGTCTTCTATTATAGATCCATCTAGACTTTCCATACTTTTTTGTTTTCTCTAATATTCAAAGTACATCAATAAGACAGAAAGAATTCTGTTGCACATTTGATCCAATAATTGGTATTTCTGTAATAAATCTAGAGAATAGTTCTCTAGCCTATCTATAAAGATGTCATGAAAGACGTTAGATGCCTTGCTAAAATTCAGCTATACTCTTTCTATAGTGGTCCCTGATCATAAAAGAAAACCTTAAATTCTAAAGATATTTAACAATATGTCTTCTTATGTGTTTTAGAAATTAAAATTAGGGGTACCTGGGTGGCTCAGTCAGTTAAGCATCTGCCTTCAGCTCAGGTCATGATCTCAGGGTCCTGGGATAAAGCCCTACATCAGGCTCCTTGTTCAGTGGGAGTTTGCTTTTCCCTCTCCCCCTCTGCCCCTCCTCCCCACTCATGTGTGCTCTGTCTCACTCTCTCTCTCTACCAGATAAATAAAATCTTTTTTAAAAAAAGAAATTAAAATTAAAACATTAAAGTAGGTAACTTCATAGCCTCCTTCCCTCTTCTGGATTTAATAAGGAAAGAGCCTCTCTTTCTTGGCTGAGGCCCTGAGGTAACCAATGGTCATCACAAAAATAGGCACAACAAGCAGAAGACGTAACGCTCAGCCCATTCCTGATTTTATGTATACACAGAATCATTAGATCTAGGGCTTTAGTAATCAAGATTTAAATTATCAGATTAAAAATCAAGAGTCTCTCCTAGGCTGAGAAAACACCCTTCAGCTATTGATACTTGTCAGTCTGGACCCCTCACCTACATACCTGAAAATGTAACCAAAAGTCACCAAACATTGGGCAGGATAAACAGGATGAAAGACAATAACCAAACATGACAAAGAGAAGAATGAACCTCAAGGAAGCACTAATACAGGAGACCAACAATTTTTAAATAAAGAGATTCAATGGAATATCACATTTGTTTAAAAAAAAAGAAAAAGAAAAAGGAACCAGTCTCAATGAAAAGAAGCAATCACAGTACTTGGAGATCAAAGAGTGTACAGTCAAAAAAGAGGAGAGAAAATGTAATAGAGGGACTGATTATCAGAATGAACACAGCTATAGACTAAATTTAGAGCATGAGAAACCAAGCTGGGGGATTCTCACCACAAAGAGAAAAGACTTGGAAGTTATAAGAAAATTTGAAACAAGGACTAAATCCAGAAATACAAAAAAAATTGTTTAAAAGGGTGATGAAAGGAGAAAATAGAAACCTAGGGGAGGGAATAATCAAAGAAGTGTTGGAAGAAAGATGGCAATGTTCTGATTGTGAAACCTCCAAGTGCTGTGTAGGATAACTGTTTATTTTTAATTTTAATTTTTTTAATTTTTTTTTTATAAATTAATTTTTATTGGTGTTCAATTTACCAACATACAGAATAACACCCAGTGCTCATCCCGTCAAGTGTCCCCCTCCGTGCCCGTCACCCATTCACCCCCACCCCCCGCCCTCCTCCCCTTCCACCACCCCTAGTTCATTTCCCAGAGTTAGAAGTCTTTATGTTCTGTGTCCCTTTCTGATATCTCCCACACATTTATTCTCCCTTCCCTTATATTCCCCTTCACTATTATTCATATTCCCCAAATAAGTGAGAACATACACTGTTTGTCCTTCTCCGATTGACTTACTTCACTCAGCATAATACCCTCCAGTTCCATCCACGTTGAAGCAAATGGTGGGTATTTGTTGTTTCTAATGGCTGAGTAATATTCCATTGTATACATAAACCACATCTTCTTTATCCATTCATCTTTCGATGGGCATCGAGGCTCCTTCCACAGTTTGGCTATTGTGGACATGGCTGCTAGAAACATCGGGGTGCAGGTGCCCCGGCGTTTCATTGCATCTGAATCTTCGGGGTAAATCCCTAACAGTGCAATTGCTGGGTCGTAGGGCAGGTCTATTTTTAATTCTTTGAGGAACCTCCACACAGTTTTCCAGAGTGGCTGCACCAGTTCACATTCCCACCAACAGTGTAAGAGGGTTCCCTTTTCTCCGCATCCTCTCCAACATTTGTTGTTTCCTGCCTTGTTAATTTTCCCCATTCTCACTGGTGTGAGGTGGTATCTCATTGTGGTTTTGATTTGTATTTCCCTGATGGCAAGTGATGCAGAGCATTTTCTCATGTGCATGTTGGCCATGTCTATGTCTTCCTCTGTGAGATTTCTCTTCATGTCTTTTGCCCATTTCATGATTGGATTGTTTGTTTCTTTGGTGTTGAGTTTAATAAGTTCTTTATAGATTTTGGAAACTAGCCCTTTATCTGATATGTTATTTGCAAATATCTTCTCCCATTCTGTAGGTTGTCTTTGAGTTTTGTTGACTGTATCCTTTGCTGTGCAAAAGCTTCTTATCTTGATGAAGTCCCAATAGTTCATTTTTGCTTTTGTTTCTTTTGTTTTCGTGGATGTATCTTGCAAGAAGTTACTGTGGCCAAGTTCAAAAAGGGTGTTGCCTGTGTTCTCCTCTAGGATTTTGATGGAGTCTTGTCTCACATTTAAATCTTTCATCCATTTTGAGTTTATCTTTGTGTATGGTGCAAGAGAGTGGTCTAGTTTCATTCTTCTGCATGTGGATGACCAATTTTCCCAGCACCATTTATTGAAGAGACTGTCTTTCTTCCAGTGGATCGTCTTTCCTCCTTTGTCGAATATTAGTTGACCATAAAGTTCAGGGTCCATTTCTGGACCCAATGTTCCATTGGTCTATGTGTCTGTTTTTGTGCCAGTACCACACTGTCTTGATGACCACAGCTTTGTAGTACAACCTGAAATCTGGCATTGTGATGCCCCCAGCTATGGTTTTCTTTAATTTTTTTAATTTTTTAAGTTATGTCTCCCACTCAATGTGGGACTCAAACTCATGGCCCCAAGAACAAGAGTCCCATACTTTACCAACTGAGACACCCAGGTAACACGATAATTTCTTTAAGATTTATTTATTTATTTTGGAAAGTGAGAGAGCACATAGGCATGAGTGGTGGGGGTACAATAAGAAAGAATCCTCAAGCAGACTCCCCCTTGAGCACTGAGTGCAACTTGAGGTTCAATCTCACAACTCTAAGATCATGACCTGAGCCAAAACCAAGAGTCAGACACTTAGCTGATGGAGCCAGCCAGGTACCCCTAACTTTTTTTTTTAAATTATACCTAGACACAATATGGTAAAAACTCAGAACTCCAGGGAGAAAATTCTATAAGCCTCTAAATGGAGAGAGAAAAGTCACCTACAAAAGCACAAGTAAAACCAGACTTACATCATCAATGCTGAAGACAAATGAAAATCTTCAAGAAAATAGTTTTGGACAGTGAAAAGATTAATTATGAGAGCAAAATACAAAGATTTTTGCATGTGTAAGCCCATACATCACCTTGAAAAAACTACTTATAGGAATTTTTAATAAAAAGAAAAGGAAAAAAGAGGCTCACATGGGACTCCAGAAAGGATGGCTAAGGAATATAAGCTAAAGGACGAGAGGAAGATAGTTTAAGAAACATTTTTTTTAAATCAATCCATTTGACTGTTTCATTTAGAAGAGTCTCTATCAAGTAGCAGATATTTAATGATATTGATCATATTTTGTTATGGATTGGATCAAATGATAGGTTCTAAAGTGAATGTTATATAATCATAACAAAGTAAAGGTTTTAGTTTTCCATGTATGGAGTCATTTATTGAAAGAATGAAGACATAATTATACTTACAGAATAAAATGTAAAATCTTTTTTTTGTAAAAATAATAGCTCCAAAAATTTAAGATTGGGAGAAAAATAAAAGGCTAAAGGAATATTCTAATTTCTTTACACTTCATGGCAGAGAGTAAATAAAGGCTGTTTAGAGATAAATCAAGAATTAAATACATGTGCACGTTATTAAAATTATTATGGCAAGCAGTGGAGGAATTAACACAAGAATGGTTACAATGGGCTATCTCTGGGAAGCAGTAGAGTGGAGGGCAGGAAGGGATACTTTTACTTCTTGTATTTTATTACCTTTGAGTTGTAAAATTCTGCATGACTATTCTGTTACCATCTTTTCCGTGTTCTCTCCTGTCTCTCTATATATATTTGGATTCAAAGACCTTACCTTTCAGGCCATGCAGAGCTACTGAATATTCTTTTTTTTTTTTTTCAACTCAGGGCTTGAACTCACAACCCTAAGATTAAGAGTCAAACTCAGCTTAACCAACTGAGCTGCTCAAGTGCCCTGCCACTGAATATTCTTAAGTAGACATGCGAAATTTGAAACATTGCTCTACAAGTTTGCAGAGGGTCCTGGGTCGACAGTCTTGCATGAGGGAACTCAGCCAGGAAGTGATTCACTCCATCTTCAAGTTCCTAGTATGCTCACATCCTCATCTCCCATTTGGTACATACCTCATACTGCCTGGAAATGAGGGTCTTGAATGATAAAATAAATAAATAAATACTGCTACTCAGCCATTCTTCAGCACCAGCATTTCAAGTTTCCACTGTCAAATCTTTGTTCTTTTTCCCTCTCTTCCTCTCTCCACTTCAGACCTACTCTTACTTTGAAGACTTGAGTTTTGATTGCTGCATGATGCCCTTTCCAACTTACCCAACCCTTTAGAGTGTTACAAAGGCAGATGAGTCTCTAGTCTGTGTTCAGAAAATAAAAGCAAAGGGTAGATTTTCTTCCGTGAAGATCATAAATGAGTTTGATAAAGATACCTGACATTTAAAGAGCAAAGACTCCTCTGCAGGCACCTCTTATAACATAATAAACAATTGAATCCTCTTCACTTGTCGTAACTTATCTGTTGGGCCAAATATATGTAGAAGTAGTCTTAAAAGATATGACTATACCCAAGTGATTATTTTCCCAAATGACCAGTGCTTGTCTCTCACCTGATATATTGATTCTCGGCTGGAAATTTGTTTTATTAGAAGTTTGGTATCCTCTTGACTTTTGACATAACCTTTTGTAATACTATACATCAAGCGGAGGCGCTTTTTGATCTGCACATCTACAATATTTATCAGCAGTGGTATTATTAACTGGAACAATGAAGAGGGAAAAAAGTCTGAAAATTTAATGAAGAAAAGCACCCTCAAAGGCAAGTGTTCTCAAAGTATCATCTTAGGGAACAGTGACACTGCCCAGAGACATATTTGAAACGCAAATTCTCAGCCCCCTACCCTGCAGACCTGCTACACCAGAAATTCTGGGGATGGGGCTCAAAAATCAGTGTCTTAACAAGTCCTCCAGGTGATTCTATCTACACTCAAGTTTGAGAGCCACCTTTAAAGAAATGAAAGGTCAATGAATAATTGGCTCTGTAGCTTTAAGAGGAAGTCCCCACCACTGTCTTTACCCCCCATTCTTCACACCCCCAGATTTCAGGAGACAAGACTGGTGGTGGTCCCTTAACCTGTATGACAATCACCAACCAAATCAACCATCCTTCAGTTTCTTGACTTGCAAGATAAGGAACATAGGATATTAAAGATAATTCTTAGCTCTAAGTTTCCCAAATCATAAGCTTAGGCAAGAGAGTGTAGTGATTGAAGAGAATGGTATTTTAAATATAATACTTTGAAGATTCAAGTGCCAGCTCTATGACCTGGAGCAAGTTACTTATGACCTTGAGGATTCTGTCTCCTCATCTATAAAATAAGGGTAATGATAGGTAAGGACCCAACGTCCAATGGAGCAGCTCCTCACAGCTGATAGAAACAATCACAGAGACAGAATCAGGTCAGAAAACAGGGTAGATGGTGAGGGACCAGGTCACAAAGGAGGAAGGTGAAAAGAGCAAAATAACATCAAAGCAGAGGAATTACAAGAGCAGAGAAAGAAGAGATTTTTAGCTGCTTTTATGGTTGTGTAACTTTGGGCAGAGGGAGAGATAATAAAGAGGATTTTTAGAAAGTTTTTTTCCATGATGTGCTGTCACCCCTTGAGCTGTTCCTACAAAGATCTAAAGTAAAAATCTCCAATATTCTTCCAAGCTCTCCAATATAGGTTTCTTTTGAAAGCCACATTGTACTGAGACTAGCTATTAAAGCATCTGACTTCATATAGTGGTAACATCTACTTCACAAGGCTATTGCCATAATTTAATTAGATAATGTGTGTCAAGTGCTCTGCACAGTTCCTGGAACATAGTAATTGCTCAATAGAAAGAGGTCATCCTGATTATATTAATTCCTTAAATATACCTCATGGAGATTTGTCAAAGCATGGTGGACACAAGTAGCAACTGTTTCACACTCTGAATAGAGTTGATTTCCGCAATAGATCATCTTTAAATCTTTACTTCCCTCAGAGAGACATTTCACAAGGTATTACTTCTACAATAATTATTTTGCCTTCATCTGCATCCAATCTCTGTATAAAAACTGATTACCTAAGGAAGCCTCTCCCTTCCATTTTAAGACTTAGCCTCATACTACACAAACTGACTTCTAACATACTTTGTGTTATGGTAGGGTTATACATTATGTAGACACTTGGCTGTAAACTTAGCTCATAAAGCAAAAATCACAAATAATCAAAATTACCCCTTAAAGCAGGTTTTCTGTATACAACTCTGCATGGTAACTCTTAAGAATAGCAAAGCTTGGTAACATTGATATAGAATCAAGAAAGGAACAGACAATAAAGTCTACAAGTCTGAGCATTCAAACAATTTTGCCTTTAAGATGACTACTAAATTTCATGGAGAATAGGAACTAAATGGAGGATTCCGAAATGAACACCTTTTGTTACTAGGGTGTTTTTCAGCAGTTTTTTAAATATCAATTCTTCATAACTTCAATATACCAATAAACTTGTCTGACATAATAAGAATTAAACAACTAAAAAAAATGGAATGGCAAATGAAATCATCTAAAGCTCCCAAGTAAAAATCTTATATAAGAAATCTTCATTGGAAAGAAAGACAGGAGATTTAAGAGCTGAGACTGGAAAACTGAAAATCTACCTTCAGAATCAAAACCAGAGGCATGGAAAGAAGGAATAGTAGTTGTTACAGAGATTGAAGGCCACAGTAAAATTAAGCTCCCTAGACTTTATGCTGCATAAAAGTAGCCTGTAGAGAAAATATTTTCATGTTTCTGCACAGTTAGGGCTTTCTAAAGAGCAAATTTTACTAAAACTTGGAGAACTTGTTTCTGGGTCACCCCACTTCAAGTGGCACCAAATTTTAATTTATTCACTCAACAAGTATTTTATTAAGAGCTTACTATATGCTAGGCACCATTCCAGAGCCATAGGTTACATCAATGACCAAAACAAAGATTTCTACCTCATGGAGAGTACATACAACATACAGTACAAAAGTAGTAAGTGCTATGAGAAAAAAACTAAACCTTAAGCAGATAGAGGAAGGTCAGGAAGATGGGATGGGAAGCTGGTATGTGTGGGGGGGAGCAGGTTGCCATTTCACACAGAGTGGTCAGGGAAGGCATTCTCTCTGTGAGAAGGTGAGAATGAACCAAGCAGACACCTGTAGAGACAGCACCATAAAGACAGCTCCTTCTCTTGTTTCCTTCAGAATAATGAGGTTTCTAAACACATTTAACATACAGTGTAGGAAAAAAATAAACAGTATTTAAAAATGTGATATTTTACCTTGATGAAAGGAATAAACCTAATTATTCTGAAATATCCTAGTATTACTGTCATTTGAATAAGAGCAAAGTTGTCTGGTCTCAATTTGACAAAGTATATACAAAAGATATCAATGATTCCAACAAGCATGATAAGAAACTCCAAAGTATTCCAATATTGATGAAAATACTTCCTTTTCAAACTTATTATCTATTTAGAAAACAAATAGAATGTATGTTATTTCATAGCACCTATGCAATAATGGGGGTGGGAAAGCATCTTCAGAATTAGCAGTTCAATCCTCAACTACAAGTGATTTGTACTCCAAAAGTTGAGTTTTAAGTTATTCATTTGGAATTCCAAAAAAAATATTTTTAATTTCCAACTTCAAAAATTATAATTTGATTCAAAATATATATAATGTATAATGAAGTTGAAATGCCAAAAGCAAGGAATTAAAAATAGCAATAAACAGAGTCATTGCAACCATCTTAATAATAAAGTATAAAAACAGTAATGCTGACAAGTCGTCTTCAAAGCATTTGTCCTAAAAAGCAGTTCTCATCTTATGACAAGGACCTAGCAAGCCAATTTGGGTGTATTCACTTATTCGTTTTTTGCATCATTAGTGAGAGCATTTGAAGGAAACAACCATCTGTATTTTCTATCTGGATTTCCATTTCTCTTGCACATCAATTGGATTCGCTCCACTTTTATGATGCTTACCTGATATCCAAGACCATGACTATAATACTGATTTCATTATTAAACACAGAAAATTCATAAAGATTATTAAAATTCCAAGATCCTATCAACTACTACATCAAATGGCTTCTAGTATCAAGGTATTTCAATAATATGACAAAAATAGATTCAGAAACATCTGAATTGTTCTTTTCATTGGATATATTTTGAACAGTACCTTCATTGCTGATTGAAATATGTATAAAAAGACAAAATAGTTGTTCACTGACATAAGTCCTGACACATTTAACTCTCTTGCCATTGGCCATAGATGCATTATCATAGGATAAATGTACATTACTGTTATAATATGTCCTGCATATTCAAATTCTTCTGAAAATACCACATGACATACAAAAAGCAGAAATTTATTATCCCTGAAAAAAAGAGAGCAATAAAATGTTAGATCACATTAAAAATAAAGCAACTGAGGGACAACTGGGTGGCTCAGTGGTTGAGTGACTGCCTTTGGCTCAGGGCATGATCCTGGAGTCCTGGGATTAAGTCCCATGTTGGGTTCCCTGCATGGAGCCTGCTTCTTCCTCTACCTGTGTCTCTGCCTCTCTCTCTCTCTCTCTCTCTCTCTCTCTCTCTTTCTCATTAATAAATAAATAAAATCTTTAAAATATATCTATATAAAACAATTGAGACCTGAAGTTCAACATTTAATTTAACAAATCATTGATATTAATCTGGAGAAGATTATAAGATATAAAATATAAAATAAATAAGCAAAAACCTAAACCTTCAATATACAATAATCATCATAAAGATAAAAATATAGCTGTTACTCATCTCTATCAGGATGGGGAGCATTTTTCAAAATCAAGGCAAATAGTACATAAGAAACAAGGCAAAGATTCATTCATCAAAAGCAAGAAGCAGAGAAAAATGTCAACATCACTTAAAAGTAAGAACAGGAAAAAATATTCTATTCAGTAATTACCGTGATGTATTTTTTTTTTAATTTTCCAACCCATCCTAAGTAGAGCCTAACAAAAAGTGGTTACCTGGGTATACGCTACGATCCTAGGATTTTAATTCTTTATATATCTCTTTAAACTTGATACATAGAAAAAAGTAAAAATATTATCAGAATTTGTTATGAAAGGTATGTCAACACCCACTTAAAAGTTAGTAGCATGAATATCTCTGGCATTTCTCACTTTTACATCTTTTGTTAACAGAAAAACCTTGTCTTCCTGCTCTAAAAAGTAGATGAGTTCACAAGTTTTAATAAAGTGAGGAATTTACACCAGTTAAGTAAATCTATGTCTTGTGATGTTTTAGAAAATTGGTTACAGATATTATTAAGGCTATGTTGTATTTTTCCTAGTTATGGACATCAACAGAACCACCCCATGGCATGGATGAAATTGAGAGGAAGATATAGGCCATGAATTTGAAATTTCTCTCCCTTGCCCAGTGTTAAACCCAGAAGAATATGAAAGCAGCCCAGTTTGTAATATCACCCTAAGACATGGCAATTACCACTTAAAGAGTCCAAATATGACCATTTTTTAAAAAATACTTTATTTATATTAGAGAGACAGAGAAAGTGAGAGCATGAGTATAAAGAAGAGGGAGAAGCAGGCTCCCCACAGAGAAGAGAGCCCCATGTCGGGCTCCATCTTAGGACCTGGGATCATGACCTGAGCCAAAGGCAGATGCTTAACAGACTGAGCCACCCAGGTGCCCCTGACCATTCTTTTCTTTTTCTTCTTCTTCCTACCTACTCTCTAACAGAGGTATCAACAAAGTTTCTAAAATAGAGTGGAGGAAGAGAAGCAAGTGCTCTGCTCCGTTACTACTCCATCAATAAAAGCTGGCCATAGTATTCGTTGATTTTTTTTTAATAAGGAAAATCAATGTAATCAATGCTGACAATGTCAGCATTTGTTGGCTGGTCATATTTTTAAGTATATTGCTATAAAGGTTTATAATACTTACCCATATAGAATAAAAAGTGCCTTATCTTTATGATATTCCAAGGAAGTTAACATGTTTTTAAACTTTATAAGCCAACTTCTAGCTCTTACATAAGTTGAAACATCATAAATACTCATGAATCTAACAAAGAAAAATATACACATATGGTAAAATAAAAATCAAGTGCTATACTTTTGGGTGATATAAAAAGGGAAAGTTTATTAAAAAGATTTATTAAGAATGCTCTGTCCTGAGTCTTTGTATCCATCCACATACCCACCCATGGTGAGGTGCAGGAAACCCCTGCTGCCTCTGGTCCCTGGAATCACTCTTGACCTGAGGTAGTATATAAGTACAGCCTCTCCAGACTAATTCTTTCGGGTTCAGAATCAAGCTCCCCTTTGTCATGCCTTGCCTTACCCAAACCTCTCCAAGACCCTGAAGGCCCCCTTCCCAAATTTTAGGAACTGATGTTAGATCTCCCAGATAGATCACCAGATTGCCAAAATATTGACTATCCCCTGGCAGGATTGCCCATTATTGCTCCATCCGTAAGCTTTGTCCTGGACCATCCATTAGCTAATGCTTTCCAGGACTACGACCAGATATTGACATTTCTCTAAGATAGTCAAACTTTGCCCACCAAATTTAATTGCATCTCTCAGATCCATCAGTTGGGTCAGTTCCTTCAAGGCTTGTCCCACCTGTCTAATGACAGGTTCCACACTTCTCTACCTACCCTATCCAGTAACTTAGTACAGATGATATAAAGAAAAGATAAATATAATAGTATATGAAACTACATAGGTTCTCTTTCATGGCACCCCTAGTGTCTTATCTAATTACACTGTAGTCAGATCTTCCACCAGAATCTCCTAATGTCACCAGAGTTATGAACTTTCAGGAGAAAAAGTATAAACAAGTAAAATAAGAAGTAGATGGATAGACAGGTGGATGGAAAGAGAGATGGAAGATAGGTGAGATAAATAGATTGATCAATCTAGACATTTAACTCTGAGTTTGATTCTTTTTTACTATATACCTATTTGATTTTGGAAATAACAATATAAGAGATATTATACTCACTTTCCTTGGATGGGGCGAAAGCTTTTGGTTGCACTAATTAATATCCGGGCTGCCTCTACACTGAGGATTCCATCATTACATTGTTTTTCAAAGCTACTCTAAACATACAATTTGAAATAAACATTACAAAGGACCAAAACATAATATAATATATTCTGTTTGACCTTTACATAGCCCTCACTATTATTGTTGAATTCATTATAGGAAAATATAATACATAATATAAATATTTTTAAAATCCTGTAGCAGCAAATAAATTTCATTCAGTTTAAATGTTTACTGAATATTCATTTATTGCAAAGTACTTTCCTGGATACAATAAAATATACAAAGTTTCTTAGCTCAAAATCTATACAAGTCAAAGAGTTTTTCTTAAGTAATATAAATAGCACCATAGCATCATCTTTCTGCAACAAGATAATGCAAAGTATTAATTCAAAGGTTAACTAATCATCTCAACTTCTTAAAGAACTACCAAGAAAGAAAAGTACACTGTGCTCTTTTTTCCCTTTTTTCCAGGTTTATTGTGATATAATTGACATAACATTGTGTAAGTTTAAGGTGTACAATGTGATGACTTAATATACTCATATATATTGCAAAATGGTTACCACATAAAGTTAGTTAATATAACTTTTTTGTGTGTGATTGTGTGTGATTTAGGATCCACTCTCGTGGCAACTTTCAAGTCTATAATATAGAATTGTTATAATTACCACACTATAGCCCCAGAACTTATTCATCTTATAACTGGAAGTGTGTAGGCTTTGACTAACATCTCCTCCATTTCCCCTACCTCCCAATCCCTGGAAACCACCATTTTACTCTGTTTCTATTAGTTTGGCTTTTTTTTTCTTTAAGATTCCACACATAACTGAAATTATATAGTATTTGCCTTTCTCTGACTTATTTTATCTAGAATAATGCCCTCAAGTCACAAATGGCAGGATTTCCTTCTGTTCAGTGGTTGAATATTATTCCACTAGATAGATAGATTATAGATGATAGATAGATGATAGATAGATAGATAGATAGATAGATAATATACATTTTCTTTATTCATCCTTCAATGGACACTTAGGTTATATCCATGTCTTGGTTATTGTGAATAGTGCTGAAAGAAACATGGGACTACAGAGATCTCTTTGAGATCCTATTACCATTTCCTTCTGATGTATATGCAGAAGTGGAGTCGCTGGAATATATGGTGGTTCTAGCTTTAATTTTTTGAAGAATCTTTATATAATTTTCTGTAGTAGCTGTACCAATTTACATTACTATCAACGGTGCACAAGGGTTCCCTTTTCTCCACATCTTAGCCAACATGTATCTCTTGTTTTGAGGGGGATATTCAGCCTAACAGGTGTGATGTGATATAGTTTTTTTTTTCAAGTTTTTATTTTAATCACCCAGTGGTCTTCAGGACAAGTGCCTTTCTTAATCCCTATCACCTATTACATTCATCCCCCTGCCAACCTCCCCTCAGTTTGTTCTCCATAGTTAAGAGTCTGTTTCTTGGTTTGTCTCTCTATATATATTTTTTCCCTTGGTTTATTTGTTTTGTTCCTTAAGTTCCACGTGTGAGTGAAATTATATGGTATTTGTCTTTCTCTGACTCACCATTATACACTGTAGCTCCATCCATGTCGCTGCGATGATATATCACTTCTTTATCCATTCATCAATCAGTGGATACTTGGGCTCCTTCCATATCTTGGCTATTACAAATACTGCTGCTATAAACATAAGGGTGCATGTATCCCTTTAAATTAGGGATTTTGTATTGTTTGGGCAAATACCCAGTATTGTGATTCCTGGATCAGAGGGGAGTTGTATTTTTAGTTTTTTGAGGAACCTCCATAATGTTTTCCACAATGGCTACACCAGTTTGCATTCTCACCAAAAGTATAAGAGTGTTCCCCTCTCTCCACATCCTCACCAGTACATGTTGTTTGTGTTGTTGATTTAGCCATTCTGACAGGTGCGGGGCAATATCTTTCTGTAGTTTTGATTTGCATTTCCCTGATGATCAGTGATGATGAGCATCTTTTCATGTATCTGTTGGCCATCTGTATGTCTTGTTTGGAGAGGTGTCTGTTCATGTCTTTTGTCCATTTTTAAATGGATTATTTGGGTTTTGGGTGCTGAGTTTTATAAGTTCTTTATATATCTTGGATACTAACCCTTTATCAGAAGTGTCATTTGCAAATATCTTCTTCCATTCCATAGGTTGTCATTATAATTTTGATTAGTCTCTTTCTGATGATTAGTTGAGTACCTTAACATGTGCCTGTTGGCCATTTGTATTTGTCTTCTTTGGAAAAATGTCTATTCAGGTCCTTTGCCTATTTTTAATCAGATTATCTGTTTTTTTTTCTATTGAGTCATATAAGTTTCTTATATTTTTTGTATATCAACCTGTTTTCTGACATATGATTTGCGAATAATTTCTTCCATTCTATAGGTTGCCTTATCATTTTGTTGAGAGTTTATTTTACTATCCAGAAGGTTTTTTATTTTATTTTATTTTATTTTTATCCAGAAGGTTTTTTAGTTGCAGTTGCTTCTGTTGTGTCTTGGGTAACATCTTAAAAAATTGGTTGTCAAGACCAATGTCAAGAAGCTTTTTCTCTATGTTTCTTCTAAGAGTTTTATGGTTTCTGTCTTATATCTAAATCTTTAATCCATTTAGAGTTAATTTTGTAGGTGGTATGGCAGAGGTTTAATTTCATTCTTTTGCATGTAAATACTCAGTTTTCTCACCATTTATCAAAAACACTTTTTCTCATTGGTATTCTTCACTTTCTTGTCAAATATTAATTGACCATACATGCATGGGTTTATTTTAGGGGGTCTCAATTCCATTCTGTTGGTCTATGTGTCTGTTTTTATGTCAGTACTATACTCTTTTGATTACTCTAGCTATGTAGCATAGTTTGAAATCAGGAAGTGTGATGCCTCCAGCTTTGTTCTTTCTCAAAATTGCTTTGACTATTCAGATTCTTTTGTGGTTTTTTTTTTTTAAGATTTTCTTTATTTATTCATGAGAGATACACAGAGAGAGGCAGAGATATAGGCAGAAGGAGAAGGAGGCTCCCTGCAGGGAACCTGATGCAGAACTTGATCCCAGGACCCTGGGATCATGACCTGAGCCAAAGGCAGATGCTCAACCATTGAGCCATCCAGGTGTCCCTCTTTTGTGGTTTCATATACATTTTTAATTGTTTATTTTATTTTTGTGAAAAATGCCATTGGTGTTTTGATGAAGATTTCATTGAATCTATAATGGCTTTAGGTAATAAGGGTTTCAGGAGTAGAATTTAGTAATTCATCACTTACATATAACACCTAGTGCTCATCCCAACAAGTGTCCTCCTTGATGCCCTTCACTCATTTACCCCATACCCTTCATCCACCTCCCCTCCAGCAACCCTGTTTGTTCTCTATAGTTAAGAGTCTTTTATGGTGGCCTCCCTCTCTATTTTTATCTTTATCTTATTTTTCCTTCCCTTCCCCCATGTTTATCTGTTTCATTTCTTAAATTTGACCTATGAGTGAAATCATATTTGTCTTTCTCTGACTTATTTTGCTAAGCATAATACACTCTAGTTCCAGTCACATTGTTCCAAATGGCAAGATTTCATTCTTTTTGATGGCTGAGTGATATTCCAATTATATATATATATATATATATATATATGGAATATGTATATACCACATCTTCTTTATCTATTCATTGGTAGTTGGACATCTGGGCTCTTTCCATAATTTGGCTATTGTGAACATTGCTGCTATAAACATTGGGTACAGGTGCCCCTCCAAACTAGCATTTCTGTATGCTTTGGATAAATACCTAGTAGTGCAATTGCTGGATCATAGGGTAGTTCTATTTTTAACTTTTTGAGGAACTTCCATACTGTTTCCCAGAGTGGCTGTGCCAGTTTACATTCCCACCAGCAATGTAAGAGTGTTCCCCTTCCTCCACATCCTTGCCAAATCTATTGTTTCCTAAGTTGCTAATTTTAACCATTCTGAGGGGTGTGAGGCTGTATCACATTGTGGTTTTAATTTGTATTTCCCGGGATCCCTGGGTGGCACAGCGGTTTGGTGCCTGCCTTTGGCCCAGGGCACAGTCCTGGAGACCCGGGATCGAATCCCACGTCGGGCTCCCGGTGCATGGAGCCTGCTTCTCCCTCTGCCTGTGTCTCTGCCTCTCTCTCTCTCTCTCTGTATGACTATCATAAATAAAAAATAAATAAATAAATAAAAAATAATTTGTATTTCCCTGATGATGAGTGATGTTGAGCATTTTTCATGTGTCTGTTAGCCATTTGTATGTCTTCTTTGGGAAAATGTCTGTTCATGTCTTCTACACATTTCTTAACTGGACATTTCTTTTTTGGGCATTGATTTTGATGAGTTCTTTATGTATTTTGGATACTAATCCTTTATCAGATATGACATTTGCAAATATCTTCTCCCATTCCATTGCCTTTTAGTTTTGCTGACCGTTTTCTTCACTGTGCAAAAGCTTTTTATCTTTATGAATTGTTCATTGCCTTTGTTTCTCTTGCCTCTGGTGATGTGTCTAGTAAGAAGTTGCTATGGTCAAAGTCAAGAGGTTGCTTTTGTGTTCTCCTCTAGGATCTTGATGGATTCCTGTCTCACATTTAGGTCTTTCATTCATTTTGAAGTTATTTTTGTTTATGGTGTAAGAAAGTGGTCCAGTTTCATTCTTTTGCATGTTGTTGTCCAGGTTTCCCAACACCATTTGTTGGAGAGACTGTCTTTTTCCCATCAGATATTCTTCCCCACTTTGTCAAAGATTAATTGATCATATAGTTGTGGGTCCCTTTCTGGGTTCTCTATTTTGTTCCATTGATTTATGTGTCTGTTTTGGTGCCAGTACCATACTCTCTTGATGATTACAGCTTTGTAATACAGTTTGAAGTCTGGGATTGTTATTTATCATAAATGCTTATATTTAGCATTTAGCAATTTAGCATAAATTTCCCTCTTAGAACTATTTTTGCAGCATCCTATAAGTTTTAATATGTTGTGTTTTCATTTTAATTTGTCTTAAGATATTTTCTGATTT